GGAGGGACTGGCAAGAATCTCGAAAGAAACGCAGAGTTACCCCGATGGTGACCAGTGTGCCCTCCACTATTGGCCCGGAGTGGCCGTTGCCCGCGGTTTGCCTGTTGCCATAGACCCCACATCGTGATCACGAGCGCTCAGGCTCACAGCTGGTGGACGGCCTGGGCCGTTGGTCCTTACCGCTCTGTGTAAATCAGTGATGTACATATGGAGTGGAGCTGATTGCCTATGACGGATCACTCGCTTCGCTCAAACACAGCATTGTTCACTTAATGGAGATGGAAATGTGGCGGCGAGAGAGAGAGAGAGAGAGAGAGAGAGAGAGAGAGAGAGAGAGAGAGAGAGAGAGAGAGAGAGAGAGAGAGAGGAAGCTCTGCGATACAACATAGAGAGATATAGTAGAGATAGAGAGAGAGAGGAGAGAGAGACGAGAGAGAGAGAGAGAAGAGAGAGGTGAGAGAGAGGAGAGAGAGAGAGCGAGGAGAGAGAGAGAGAGAGAGAGGAGAGAGAGAGAGAGAGAGCGCTTAGTAACAAGGTGCATGTGGTAAGGCCTTGTTTGACATGCACTATGCTTCAGCTCCCTCGTGTTGGCATGCCCATTCAGCGCTGTTTTCTCCATGGACGTTATTGGCCGTGATCAGTCAGGCTGTAATTCTTGCTCTTTTGCTCATTTCAAGTGTCACCCGCGTGACCAATGCGGGGCTTGTCTTGTGTCAACCAAGTAATTGGATTTCGCGGAGAGTGCAGTCATGAGAATGTTGCATGCAACATGCGGATATAAAAATTACGTAACGTGCAAACTCATTCAGTTAATCACTGCAGCCCTCTTGTTCTGTGCCTTTGGTGCTTTCCAAGTTGAGAAATATATCCGGCGTGGTTGTTAGAGTAATTAACATCAACAGGCATATAATTTGCACTGCATTGAAGCCGGTCACAGTGCGGTTAAATGAGGTAACATCTATAATGATTCCACACAATGCAACATATCTCGCAACAGGACAACACGACAGGATCAACAAACACAACGCAACAAAATGGTCAAGGTTGTCAAGGCTGGACTCACAAGTCACAAGGGCCGCGTATTGCCCGACCCACGCTACCCTCGACGCCACCCCGCCATCACAGCCATCGCAGCCATCGCAGCTCACTGAAACGGTGCACCGCTGTCCGAGCCGTGACGAGGCGCCACCGGCGTGGCTGACACCGCAGGAAGCCCGGAACTGCGCCGGTGGCATGAGTCAGGCGGGCACACACGTCATGCGAGCCCCCTGGTTCGGGTGACCAGAGTCTGCACGGCCGCGCCGCCGGGCGGGGCGCGACGTCACGGATGCCTGGGACGGTGCCCGCAGAAGGCGCGACTCTAGTTCGGGGACTCCCCCGAGCGGCTGCAGCCGGCCTGCCGTCGCCGGCCTGGGTACCGACACCGGTCACCACTCGCCCTGGGTACTGACACTGCTCACCGCCCGCCCTAGATACCGACATCGCTCACCCTTGGTACCGACAGCGCCCACCGCCCACTCTGAGCACCTTAACCGCTCACGGTGGGGCCGAGCCGCCCCCCCCCCCCCTCCCGCGGTAACCAGACGACCTGAATGTCCCGGCAGCCAGGCGACCTGAGTGTCCCGGCAGCCAGGCGACCTGAGTGTCCCGGCAGCCAGGCGACCTGAGTGTCCCGGCAGTCAGGCGACCTGAGTGTCCCGGCAGCCAGGCGACCTGAGTGTCCCGGCAGCCAGGAGACCTGAGTGTCCCGATAGTCAGGTGACCTGAGTGTCCCGGCAGCCAGGAGACCTGAGTGTCCCGGCAGCCAGGAGACCTGAGTGTCCAGGCAACCAGGCGACCTGAGTGTCCCGGCAACCAGGCGACCTGAGTGTCCCGGCAGCCAGGCGACCTGAGTTCGTTCCCCCATGATCTGAGTGCCGCCTGGACGCCTGCACCCATTGTCGGTCACTTGAGGAAGTCTCGTTAGCGCAGCTCTGTCAGATAACCGCAGTCTGACCCACACCAGTCGTCTTTTCCTTTCATCCTACAGCCCCGAAATGGTCATTTCTGGCTGAAAGGGCTCTATCCTCGCTCTACCCATTGACAGTCCCTTGTGGAAGTCTCGTTAGCGCAGTTCTGCCAGGTAACCGCAATCCTACCCGAACCAGTCGTCTTTTCCTTTCATCGTACAGCCCCGAATGCCCATTTCTGACTGAAATGGCTCTATGCTCAACCAAAACGAAGCGGCCTGGACGGTGACGGTGGCAGGGCAGTTCTCACAGAAAGGTCATCCGCGCGCACGAGGCGGCAGAGGATCGGGTCAGTGCCCTGCGGAAGCGTTGCGCCGTCCGGTAATTTGAGTCTCAACTTTCAAAGGCATGCTTGAACTAAACCACTTGGACGTTGCGAGAGCTGGGGTTCGGGCAATGAACTTAGCCTGGCACGGGACTTGACATCTCGACAGCATGCCAGGCCTTTCAATATTGCGGCTTTCAGTTTCCCCCAACGAAACATATCTCTATAATGGATTAGCCTCTCACGACCAATATTTGATATTGGTTTGGAAAATGGTCGTTTGCGGGCACGTTTGCGATCTCATGCGTACGTGCCATCGTTACATCTGCCATGCCTGCAGCGTGAGTTGGCTGTGCAGATCAATGGTAGTTTCAATTGGTGGAGTCCGCAAGCAACGCGCTTGATTGATGGGCGCTTGATTGACGACATGTACGAAACGTTTGCTAGAGGGTGAGATCACGTTGGAGGGGAGATTTGGGTCAGACCACATCGGCAGCTGAGTGCGTCGTAAGGCCCATCCCCCTCCCCTCCGAGGGAGATTCAGTGTCTGCTGATGTTGTTGCGTCCTTCGATGTGCTTTCACATGACGCAGTTTGACGCCGATGTGTTGGTGGGTTACTTAACCGATCGCATAGAATGTTCGCTCGGTGACCTGCCCACCTGTCGCTGAGGTTGGGGTCCCCCTAGCGACAGCTGTAGCAGTACAGAGCCGTGCGCCGCTGTAGCGGCCAGCGCCGAACCTCCGCTACAAAATTGGCGCACTTCATGCATACCGCGTAGACTTTTCACTGAGAATGATTCCTAAGAATACTGAACCGTTGCTTAATCGGAAGGAAGCCGTCTCCAGTGCGTGCTCAGTGCCAGGTCATCATTCCATCGCCCGTAATGAATGGCAGCAGGAAAACATATACTATCTGATGCGACAGTCATGCAACAGATTGCTTGGTTCGCTGGGTCCAGCGTCCGTCCTATTGTTCCAATAGAACCGCAGCTCGGGTGTGGCGTGACGCAGACTGACCAATGGCAGCGCGCCCAAAAATGGCTGTGCTGTGTTTATCACGTGAGCGTCTGTAATGTCCACTTAGCCTTGCATTTCCAACGATTCATTGTCCTTCCGTCGTCACAGAAAACCAAGGGAATGCCAATCGTTTCGTAACGTAGATCATGTGAGGGAAGGTGATTTTCCATCCATGCCAACCATGTGCAGGACGGATACGACATGAGAGAACGAGTCTGTTCAAAGAGGTGCGCCACCATGCCCATCAATTTGTTATGCAGCCATGGACCGCCACCAGCCTCTGCGCAGCTGCGATGGCGCATCGTTAATGCAATGACGCATTAGTAACGGACTAGGGCCGTTGGGGACTGACTCGCAAAGCGAAACACGACCATACGCGTGTCTGAATTACGTCGTGTAGGCTTGCGGCCGGGCTGTTCATAAGCTTAAGTAGCAGAACGTAAGCAGAATGGTTCTGCTCTGTTCGTGCCGATTGTGGGAGCTGTCGAGGCTGATGTTGAAAAATTGGACGTGTCTGTCTGGCTGAGGTTTTTTGTCTCCGAGTCCATGCGACTCAAAAAGAAAATGCCCTGAGTCATGTTGCCGTTTTATGAAGCTCTGCTCTTGTTCACTGACGCCGCAGCGACTAACCGCGTCCTGTGCAGGGAGCACTTGGTCACTTCGTCGCAGTGACTAATCGCGAGCCTGCGTAGGGTGACCGTGCTCACTTCGTCGCAGTGACTGACCACCGGCCGGTGCAGGATGACCTTGTTCACTAGCGTCGCAGTGACTGAACGCGGGCCTGTGCAGGCAATTGGTCGCCTCGTCGCAGTGACTAATCGCGAGCCTGTGGAGGGTGACCTTGCTCACTTCGTCGCAGTGACTGACCACCGGCCGGTGCAGGGTGACCTTGTTGACCGAAGCCTCAGTGACTGACAGGCGATTGGTACTCTGAATATGCAGCAGTTACCTGCAACGACAAACGGAAGTCACCGGCGGCGGCCGCGCTACCATGGTCGCTGTCGTCAGCCGGGCCTTCTGCGAGCTCGCGGTGCGGACCGTTGTTCCACCGCCGTTGGCTGGTCCCGGGTTCCGTGCTCTGTCTGTAATTTTTAGATTCAGCTGGTGTTGGAGAGACTGCGTCGGCTAGCTCCTGCTGTTTCAGCTGCTGTGAGGTGCTGTTCCGGTTGACTGTTCTATGTCCGCTGCTGTGACGACGATAGCGCTATGTCGGATGTCGGTCGGACCCTGCTGTGTGCTGTTTCGGTTGACTGTTCTATGTCCGCTGCTGTGACGACGATAGCGCTATGTCGGATGTCGGTCGGACCCTGCTGTGTGCTGTTTCGGTTGACTGTTCTATGTCCGCTGCTGTGACGACGATAGCGCTATGTCGGATGTCGGTCGGACCCTGCTGTGTGCTGTTCCGGTTCTTTGTCGTGCCAACGCCTTCTCTGCTGCTCTACGGCGCCTTCTGTCAGGGCAAAGTGCTCTTCTGTCAGGGCTGGTGCTCTTCTGTCAGGGCCCGGTGTCGTTCTGTCAGGGCTGGTGCTGTTCTGTCAGGGCTGGCGCTGTTCTGTCAGGGCCCTGTGCTGTTCTGTCAGGGCCCGGTGCTGCTCTGTCGGGGCCCGGTGCTGCTCTGTCAGGGTCCAGTGCTGCTCTGTCAGGGCCCGATGCTGTTCTGTCAGGGCGCGGCGCTGCTGACGCCACGCCCCGGTCCCGTGTGCCGCAGGAAGGCCACCCGTCAGATGATCGACGCGTGGCTTCTCTCCCACGCCATCACGCAGAGTCTGCAGGAGAGCTGTCTGCATCGACACGCCACCTCCGTGCCCGGCAGCAGGTCAGTCTCAACACGCCACCCTCGTACCGGGTGCTGCCGGTCCACCAGCACCCCTGGGCCGCCCCTAGAAGTGTCATGGCCACCACAGTGCTCGATCGCCTCCTGCGACGCCGGACCCAGGTCGCCACATGGTCGTCACAAAGCACTGGAAAGCACCAGAAAACAGCAAGAAGGCAACGGAAAGAGGAACGATGTCTTTCGTCAGGGAGATTGATCGTGTGTCTATCCACAAGTTCGCAAAATGAGTAGGTTCCAAAATGATTTCGGGTGGGAGGGAGCTGAGCAGTGAACAATGGCTGAACGTACCCCCCCCCCCCCCCCAAATAGTCAAACATAGGCTCCCCAGATTTCACCCACTTTCTCTCAAGTTTGAGGGGGAGGGACTGGAGCGCCTCAACTGAATAGGAACAACACCCTGTGAGCTGCGATGTAAGTTTGTAACCGGGGTGGAACGGATTTTCTGTACCGGACTAGGATTGATGCTGTGCCTGCGATGGCGTCTGGTCTGGTGTGCGGTCTGAATGATGAGGTCTGGTCTGGTGTTGGGGTCTGGCGATGGGGTCTAGTCTGGCGCTACGCAAGACTGCGGCACACTGTACTGAGACCGAGACTGGGACCGAAGCCGGCTGAGGCTTGGGCGTTATGAGACCGAAGCCGGCTGAGGATTGGGCGTTACGACAAAAAGTTACGACTAAACTGCGGCACACTGTACTGAGACCGAGACTGGGACCGGAGCCGGCTGAGGCTTGGGCGTTACGACAAAAAGTTACGACTAAACTGCGGCACACTGTACTGAGACCGAGACTGGGACCGAAGCCGGCTGAGGATTGGGCGTTACGACAAAAAGTTACGACTAAACTGCGGCACACTGTACTGATACCGAGACTGGGACCGAAGCCGGCTGAGGATTGGGCGTTACGACAAAAAGTTACGACTAAACTGCGGCACACTGTACTGAGACCGAGACTGGGACCGGAGCCGGCTGAGGCTTGGGTGAGAACGGAGCTGACACTTGCATCACCACTGCAGTGCTACGTTTAAGCACATGGGACTTTGCAAGATGCGACAGCTACAATTCCAGCGCAAACCCGAAGACGCCGATTCCATAATCGGGCGGTCACGACCGCAGTTCCATTCGTGCTGCCCCAGGTCACTTTATCCTCGGTGTGCTGCCCCAGGTCACTTTATCCTCGGTGTGCTGCCCCAGGTCACTTTATCCTCGGTGTGCTGCCCCAGGTCACTTTATCCTCGTAGTGCTGCCCCAGGTCACTTTATCCTCGGTGTGCTGCCCCAGGTCACTTTATCCTCGGTGTGCTGCCCCAGGTCACTTTATCCTCGGTGTGCTGCCCCAGGAGTCACTTTATCCTCGGTGTGCTGCCCCAGGTCACTTTATCCTCGGTGTGCTGCCCCAGGTCACTTTATCCTCGGTGTGCTGCCCCAGGTCACTTTATCCTCGGTGTGCTGCCCCAGGTCACTTTATCCTCGGTGTGCTGCCCCAGGTCACTTTATCGTCGGTGTGCTGCCCCAGGTCACTTTATCCTCGGTGTGCTGCCCCAGGTCACTTTATCGTCGTGTGCTGCCCCAGGTCACTTTATCGTCGGTGTGCTGCCCCAGGTCACTTTATCCTCGGTGTGCTGCCCCAGGTCACTTTATCCTCGGTGTGCTGCCCCAGGTCACTTTACGTCGGTGTGCTGCCCCAGGTCACTTTATCCTCGGTGTGCTGCCCCAGGTCACTTTATCCTCGGTGTGCTGCCCCAGGTCACTTTATCCTCGGTGTGCTGCCCCAGGTCACTTTATCCTCGGTGTGCTGCCCCAGGTCACTTTATCGTCGGTGTGCTGCCCCAGGTCACTTTATCCTCGGTGTGCTGCCCCAGGTCACTTTATCGTCGGTGTGCTGCCCCAGGTCACTTTATCCTCGGTGTGCTGCCCCAGGTCACTTTATCGTCGGTGTGCTGCCCCAGGTCACTTTATCGTCGGTGTGCTGCCCCAGGTCACTTTATCCTCGGTGTGCTGCCCCAGGTCACTTTATCCTCGGTGTGCTGCCCCAGGTCACTTTATCGTCGGTGTGCTGCCCCAGGTCACTTTATCCTCGGTGTGCTGCCCCAGGTCACTTTATCCTCGGTGTGCTGCCCCAGGTCACTTTATCCTCGGTGTGCTGCCCCAGGTCACTTTATCGTCGGTGTGCCAGGCACAGATTCACGCGGGGACTGGCATTCGTGTTTTCATCCTTATCCTCACTTCCAATGCCGCATCCCCGACGCCCGCCCCTTCAGCGAGCCTTTGCGGTATTTCCTGCCACTGGTTGACATTAACGTTGCCGCGGCCGAGACGAGCGGGACCTGTATGTGACGTCGTTTTGACGCAATTGATTCTTATCGGATGGTCTGATGTCATTCGCCAATGGCGATGCATGGCGTGATTGGGCGGTTGGCTTGACCGTGACGTCATGTGTGCTTAGCCCGTGCTGTTTGACGTCACCCGTTGGCCTTCTGTCGACGAACCGTCCCAGAATAGCTCCTGCTAGGATGTCTGACTTTGGTTTAGCGCGTGGGGTCTGGGAATTACGGCTGCAAAAGCATTAGAAAGTAGCATAAAGTGTTATCGATAATGCATCTGGTCCTTGGCCGTGTTGACCTCATGTGGAAGCTCCGAGCTGTTTGCACTTCTTTTCTTTTGCCTCCCTCAGTCTGACCATCGGCTCGAGCCTCCTGACCTACCACCATCCACCATGACCTATCGACCGATGACCTACCGATGACCTACTGACATCAGTTGAGTCTCAGTCAGTGGAGACGTCGATCTTTGAGGCCGCCGCTTCCCGCCGAGGTTCTGCGCCGTACCCTGTCGCGGTCGGTCCTTGAGGAGGCCGCTGAGGAGGTGACGGTCGTGACCCGAGGCTGTGGGCGGGCCACGACCGCCGCGCGGGCGTGCCTCAAGTGTCATCGTCACAGTCACAGACGTGACTTGAGACGCGGCGCCCAGAATAAATGTCCCGCCGGAAATCCCGTCTCGGATCGAGTGGACCGGATCGACAGATAGCGTATCGGCTCCAGAACGTGCCGGACCAGGCGTTAGGGCGGCTATTTTGGCGCGGCGCGGACGGCTGTGCCGTGTCGTCGAGAAGATTGACCTTTCAGCGGGACCAAATTGTCGCCGTGACCCCCGTCCTGACCGGACTGAAAAGGATCAGACGACGCCTCGGGTAGCGGTCAAAGCCATTGCTGCGATGGCGAGTCGATGTCTGCTGTCTAGCCTGTACTGACACGATCGCCAGAAACTCGGCCGTTGCGACACGTGATGTCCGCGACTGCAGTGCTCGCGCCGAGGAAGTTGTGTCTGGCAACTCTTGAGACAATGAGGCCAGAATTTCCTTGATGGCTTTTCTGAATTTCTGGGGAAGTTTTAAGCAAATGCATCAGTGATGATGGATATCGAACACGTCGCTCAGCTGTTTTGGCACGGGTGTGGTGTGCGGCTTTCTGCTGAACAGGTCAGCTGATTGTCGTCCAGGGACGTCACGGAACGACTGTGAGTTCAAGCTGTTGAACTTCCTACACGCCGGGTTTCACGATTCTCCCGTCTCTACCGCTCGGTCCTCGCTACTTACCTTTCTCAATCCCTATTGCTCGGCCCTCGCTACTTACCCTTCTCCCGTCCCTATGGCTCGGTCCTCGCTACTCACCCTTCTCCCATCCCTATTGCTCGGTCCTCGCTATTTACCCTTCTCCCATCCCTATTGCTCGGTCCTCGTTACTTACCCTTCTCCCGTCCCTATTGCTCGGTCCTCGTTACTTACCCTTCTCCCTCCCTATTGCTCGGTCCTCGCTACTCACCCTTCTCACGTCCCTATCTCTCGGTCCTCGCTACTCACCCTTCTCACGTCCCTATCTCTCGGTCCTCGCTACTCACCCTTCTCACGTCCCTATCTCTCGGTCCTCGCTACTCACCCTTCTCACGTCCCTATCTCTCGGTCCTCGCTACTCACCCTTCTCACGTCCCTATCTCTCGGTCCTCGCTACTCACCCTTCTCACGTCCCTATCTCTCGGTCCTCGCTACTCACCCTTCTCACGTCCCTATCTCTCGGTCCTCGCTACTCACCCTTCTCACGTCCCTATCTCTCGGTCCTCGCTACTCACCCTTCTCACGTCCCTATCTCTCGGTCCTCGCTACTCACCCTTCTCACGTCCCTATCTCTCGGTCCTCGCTACTCACCCTTCTCACGTCCCTATCTCTCGGTCCTCGCTACTCACCCTCTCACGTCCTATCTCTCGTCCTACTCACCCTTCTCACGTCCCTATCTCTCGGTCCTCGCTACTCACCCTTCTCACGTCCCTATCTCTCGGTCCTCGCTACTCACCCTTCTCACGTCCCTATCTCTCGGTCCTCGCCACTCACCCTTCTCACGTCCCTATCTCTCGGTCCTCGCTATTTACCCTTCTCACGTCCCTATCTCTCGGTCCTCGCTACTCACCCTTCTCACGTCCCTATCTCTCGGTCCTCGCTATTTACCCTTCTCACGTCCCTATCTCTCGGTCCTCGCTACTCACCCTTCTCACGTCCCTATCTCTCGGTCCTCGCTATTTACCCTTCTCACGTCCCTATCTCTCGGTCCTCGCTACTCACCCTTCTCACGTCCCTATCTCTCGGTCCTCGCTACTCACCCTTCTCACGTCCCTATCTCTCGGTCCTCGCTACTCACCCTTCTCACGTCCCTATCTCTCGGTCCTCGCTACTCACCCTTCTCACGTCCCTATCTCTCGGTCCTCGCTACTCACCCTTCTCACGTCCCTATCTCTCGGTCCTCGCTACTCACCCTTCTCACGTCCCTATCTCTCGGTCCTCGCTACTTACCCTTCTCCCAGCCCTATTGCTCGGTCCTCGTTACTTACCCTTCTCCCTCCCTATTGCTCGGTCCTCGCTACTCACCCTTCTCCCATCCCTATTGCTCGGTCCCCGCTACTCACCCTTCTCCCGTCCCTATCTCTCGGTCCTCGTTACTTACCCTTCTCCCTCCCTATTGCTCGGTCCTCGTTACTTACCCTTCTCCCTCCCTATTGCTCGGTCCTCGCCACTCACCCTTCTCCCGTCCCTATCTCTCGGTCCTTACTACCCTCCAGTTCAGTCGGGCTCTGAGGCTCCGTTGTTCTTTGCGTACCTGTTCAGTCTTTCAACATCGAACTCCTGACTCGGGCGGCCGTGAGCGTTTCGCCTGCCCTTGGCGCCCTTCATCTGCGGCCCTTTCATCGGGTGAGTCCCACCTTAGCCCAACACCGTCGCTCATCAGACAACCAGGGTCCATCGGTGGTGACTTGTCGCTCGCCGGCCGACCCTGCCCGATTCTCCGTACTTTCGTGCCCCACCGTACCGCCTCACCCAGCAGCGTCATGTATCTGGACGTCACCGCGATCAAATAAGCTCGCACTCAGCCGATTGGCCCCTCACCATCAGCTGTTTCGCCACCCCTCCCCCCCTCCCCATGACCCCTGCCTGACTGAGACGTGACCGCTAGCTGACCTAGAGCTGGCCCCTAGCCAAATGATCCAACACTCGGGGATAGTTTCCTGACTGGACAGTGATATTCTTTCCTTCCCGTGCAGTTTCACATATTGTTAGTTATGAATCGTCGTGGTCCTCTGACCGGATCCCGATTTACTTCCCTTGCCATGCCCGTGCCTGAACTCGTTCGAGAGGCCGATGTCTGCCTCTGCCTGGCCTGCCTTTGCCTTGATGATTGGCCGTAGTCCGTTGCCTGACCCCAGTGGTTACCTGACCTCTAGGTAACCCCTGACTCGCGACTGACTTCTGCTGGACCCCTGATCCATGCCTAATCCCTCAACCATACCTGATCCCTGACCTTTGCCTAACCCTTGAACCATGCCTGACTCCTGACCCCTGCTCCACCCCTTGCCCCTGCCTGACCCTCGACCCCTGACACATGCCGGACCCGTCACCCCTTGCCGCTGCCTGACCCTTGACCCCTGACGGTGCCTGACCCCTGAGCCCTGGCTGACCGGCGCCGCTCCGCTGCAGGGTGACGTCGGGCTCCGTGACGCCGGTGCGCAAGATCTCGGCGCACGAATTCGAGCGGGGCGGCACCCTGAAGCCCATCGTCAGCACGGTGGATGGCAGCCCCACCTTCCTGACGGCGCCGGCGCCCGAGCCGGCCGGCGCTGGCCGGCGCCAGCGCTGCAGACCTCGCGCCGAGCTGCAGCTCCTCGATGAGAAGGTGGGTTGGACCCGGCGGCAGCTGCGCCAGCTGGGCGTGCAGGCTGCAGCTGGAGGCGTGCCAGCGATCAGCAGGCATTTTTGAAATCGTACACTGTCTTCGGCAGAATAGCGGGGAGGATTACGAACGAGGCATGCTACCAACAATGCAGCCTTGTCGGAGTCCTAGCTGCCTTCCATCGTTGAGCCGTGCGTGTGACATAAGGGACGCTGTAGCCCTGTTCACGCGGTTCTGTAATCGGTCTAGCCGTTTTTGCTGTGTTTGGCGAAGTGAGACAGTGCAGAGGGTGCGGGGCTGTGTAACGCAGTGCTGGCCCTGCTAGGCTGAGTAACAGCTCTTTGCTGATGAGTTTATCGATCTCTGTTGAGCCAAAGTACGGAACTAGGTCGCGGTGCTGCCCTGATTGGCCGGGGAGTGGTTAGCAGCTCTCGTGCGCAACCGCAGACACCGAAGACATCGGATAGGCCCGTCGCTAGGTAAAGTCAGCTACTTCTCATTTATATAAGACGGTTTTCTTGCGAATTGATCCACTTTTCGCAGCCACAAAGAAGACACGGGTTGTAAGAAGCTCAGTAGGTTTTCTGCGCGTTTTACCACGGGATGAACTGAACTAATTACAAATTTAAACGCATTCAGGTTTTGTGTAATCTACGTCATCTACATCTCTGTTTAACTGTCTGTTAAACAGACTATCGGGCTGCGCGAAGTTTCAACAAAGTTTAAAAGCAATGTGCGATTTTTGTGCCAACCTGGTTATGTTTAGATGATCTTCCCTTGAAGCCAATGAATCATCAACCGATTGCGTTTTCGAGGGAACATGACGCCGCTAGATTTCCAGATCCGCGGTAGAGATAGACCAAAGACAGTCAACTAACTCTAGCTTGCCAGTGAGGTGGTCCGGCTGGCAAGGTGTTGGTGCAAGCGTCACCTCCGCTCATCTCACCTTACTGCGGGCCCCCTCGCTCTCGATCTGACCCTGGTGGAGACATCTCTTCCGGTCTCACTTCACTACGGGTCTCCTCTCTCTCGATCTGACCCTGGTGGAGACATCTCCTCCTCTGGTCTCACTTCACTGCGGGCCCCCTCTCTCTTGATCTGGCCCTGGTGGAGACATCTCCACTTCTGGTCTCACTTTACTGCGGGTCTCCTCTCCCTTGATCTGACCCTGGTGGAGACTTCCCCTCCTCTGGCCTCACTTCACTGCGGGCCCCCTCTCTCTTGATCTGACCCTGGTGGAGACATCTCCTGTTCTGGTCTCACTTCACTGCGGGTCTCCTCTCTCTCGATCTGACCCTAGTGCCAACGCTAGCCCTCCCCCCTCCCCCCCCCCCGCTGATCCCACCCTTCCGTGATGTGACCCTGGCGTGGGTCGCTTCTCTGTGGATCTGGCAGCTCTGTGTGTTTTGTCCGAAGCACCACGTGATGCATTACCTTCGCCGCCGCCGCCTGGCACTTGTCGACACGTGTATTTCTGTCCGCGGCGTATTTCTGTCCGGGGAGCTGGTCCTGGGGCTTCTATTTAATAAGCGCTGTCAGTGCTGTCACTAAGCCTGTTGGCAAGATAATTTGCTCAAGCGCCAGGTGATCCCAACGACAGGTCGATAATGCCTCACCAGGACGAAAAACGGCTCCCTGTCACACATATTCCCACAGCTGTCTGGCTGAGAATAGGCGGCGGTGACAAGGCATAGCTGGCTTCTCAGGGCGGTATGCAGGGCTGCGCTCGGACAGAATGGCCTCATTTTGGACGAGGCGTGTAATAACGACTATGTTGGTAACGACTGTGTTGCGGTTCGCAGGCACCTCACGGGGCAGAGAGACTATGCAGTTGTTATAACACGTTGGCACCAGGGTAATTTTGCCGTTGGTGGCACCGGAAGTCCTCGTGCACGCGGTGTCCTCCTGAAGCGGGCGTTGTGTCAGTGACATGACTCTTGACTTGACAACCTCTTTCGAAAATAAGATGTCACCACGCCTTTAAGACGGGTCACGCCAGCGGACGTTTTAACGTAGCTCCGTGAAGTGGGAGGGGCGGGCGGGGGGAAGGAGCATGCCATGGAGGAGCCATGGCATGCCCCCGCCATAGAGGGGCCGTGACACCCGTTATGGCTGGCGGAAGCTGGCGGGCTGTTGCCAGCACTGCTCGCCCGCCGAGCGCTGCCTAGGGCGAGCCGCTGGGTAGCCTCCTGAGCCGGTTCTGCCAGCTGCACGAGCTCCGCGACTGGTGGAGCGCCCAGTCGCCGGGCGCCGCCGGGCTCGTCTCTGGCCCGGTTGTGAGCTGCGCTCGGGCTGAGAGCCGGACTGGCGCGGCCCTTCCGTTAGCCGTGCCTGGTCTTGTACCAGGAGCAGGGCTGGTGTGGCCATTCCGTTAGCCGTGCCTGGTCTTGTACCAGGAGCAGGGCTGGTGTGGCCCTTCCGTTAGCCGTGCCTGGTCTTGTACCAGGAGCAGGGCTGGTGTGGCCATTCCGTTAGCCGTGCCTGGTCTTGTACCAGGAGCAGGGCTGGTGTGGCCATTCCGTTAGCCGTGCCTGGTCTTGTACCAGGAGCAGGGCTGGTGTGGCCATTCCGTTAGCCGTGCCTGGTCTTGTACCAGGAGCAGGGCTGGCGCGGTCCTACCTTTATCCGTGCCTGGTACTGCGGCCAAGGGGCATGCGCCTGCCGGTTTGGCCCCTGTGAGACAGCAGTCTGTCGCGCGCTTTGGCGGAGGTGATCCACCGTCCGCCTCGAACCGATGCCAGCAAAATCGGCATAGGAGATTATGCTCTGCTAGGTCAGCACGCTGGGGCTGCTGTGCAGCTGGTGGACAGGGAACAGCTGGCCGGCGCCGGCCTCCCAGCCAGCCCTTGCACTGTAGCTGTATTCCACCATCTGACGCGTTACGGAAGTCGTGCAGTCATGAGTCGCAGAATTTAGTCAGAAGTTTGACGAGTCACATGCCACATGGATGCACATGTGTGGCAGTGATGTGATGCTTGTAGAACGATTTCAGCTGTGATCTCAGCTTCTGAACTGAGGGGAGACCCCGCCAGACCTTACGCGGTGTTGGTCGCAGCTTTGGGACCGTTCCCAACAAAATTCGGGACTGAGTCGCGTGAAATTTGTGATTTCAGGCGTGTGTGGTGAGCCAAAACGTTCGGTTACCGTTGGTCCTCAGTAACCATCGCGAGTCACTGCGCGCTTACCGTTGGTCCTCCATAACCATCGCGAGTGCAGCCACAAAACACCGTCACCGTGAGCCACAAGCTAGTGACCTTGAATACACGACTATAGCGGGCTGAAACGAGCTGAAAGTTTTCCAGCTTTCCGTATGCTATTTAAAGCAATTACACGGTATGTGCATGTAGTGACATTTCTACCACATTTTGGCGTGATTCTTGGAGGCGTTTGCTCGGTAGTATCAGTGAACAGAACGATTGGTCTTGTCTGGATCGGCGCGCACTTAACCTGGCAGTGGGGGATTATCATCACAAAGTGGCGACACGTTGACATGTTGTTGACAATAGCATGCCTGATATAGCCAAGCGATTGCGGTCCCCAATCCGTTCCATAAACCATTCTGCACCAGCCCTGCTAATTGGGGAGGAGCCGTTATTGAAGTTGCCCATCCATGACCGGTTTCGCTGTGTGTTCCAGGAGTTCACGTTCGAACTGGTAAAGGACGTTGCACGCAGTTCGGGAGGCGCCGGTATTGGGCTGACCGTCCGTGACCGGTTCTGATGCGTCTTCCAGGAGCTGATTTTCGAGCTGGTGAAGGACATCTGTAACGACTTGGACGTTTGTTCGCTCTGCCACAAGATCTTGCAGAGTGTGAGCGCGCTTACCAACGCCGACCGGTGCTCGCTGTTCCTGGTGCGCGGCGAGAAGGAGTCGAACACACGGCACTTGGTGGCCCAGGTCAGTTGAGGGTCGTTGGAGACAGGTCGAGGCCTGGTCAGCGGTCAGGTCAGGGGTCATATTAGGGAGTCAGGTCACAGAACCCGGCAACTAAAGGCTCAGGTCAGTAGGTAGTTTTCGGGGTCTGATCAGATCGCAACAACCGACACCTGTTTTTTGTGGAGAGGTCACAGGGTCAGGTCACAACATTAGGTGCCAGGCGACCCAAGTCGATGTAAAGGTCACTTGGCCGGGTCAGGAGACAGTTAATAACACCAAGTTGCAAGGACGTAATGACGAAGAAAACAACACCAGGACTCAAATCGTGCTGTATGTTACTGGCAGACACTTGCCTCACGCCGGGTGAAGTCAGACGCGGTGTATCCCGAAACCCAAATACGGAGAGATTTTCCCGGCAGACGCAGGCAACTCAGCGCACCTGACGTAACACTCGCCGACTCCAGAGAGGTTGGCCATGGATCCCAGAATCGCCTCATATCTCACCACAGGAGCCAGCCACGCAGTGCAACGCGCAGGCTCAACCGATGCCACGCCACGCCTCGAAGCGCGTCAGGCCAAATGAGTGCATGCCCCGAACCACTGTGCGTCTGGGAAACCAGAGGTACGGGGCTCGATTCCCCGCGGTACCCGCCCTTTCTGTCAGGGTGAGAGACAGGCAACACCATGTGGCCTCAGCAGCTGAGTGCGTCGTTACGCCCCAATAACAATAACAAGGTCATGTCCGGGCGGGTCAGGGTCATTTAGGCGTGATCGCGTGGTGACCTGTCACCTCGCGCCATGAAACATCACCACAATCTATCCCAGGAGCAACCATGTTTTCGCTGAGTCACTGCCTAACGATTCCTGTGACTACTTAAGTGGTGAGTTAGAGTCTAAATTGAGCCAAAGGGTCGACTGAAATAAAATGCATGCAACGGGATACGTCCATTATCTAAGAGTCTATCGGTGCACCAAATTGAAATTAATCCTTTAAAACTATTTGGTTGCCAAAATCGTTGCTATACGGCTATGACGAGGAATGGCGGGCTCTTATAAACCTAAAAAAGGGTCATCACCTAAATTTTCACCCAGATTTACTCCATCGGAACATATGCCTGACTAAATAAAGCCATGTCTCCTTGAGCCCAATCCGAGGCAACTCAGAGTTGTGCAAGGCTATTCACAGTCAGAGTCAGAATCGTCATCAACTGCCATTTGGAATCAGATTCATCGTCATCAACTGTCACGTGGAGGCGGAATTATTCCCATCAACTGTCACGTGGAGTCGGAATTATCCCATCAACTGTCACGTGGAGTCGGAATTATCCCCATCAGCTGACAGTTGGAGTCGAGATCAATTCCGCAGAAGCGAGATCAACCGCAAGCTCGAATACGAAAAGCACCGTATTGCCCAGGGTGCGTCAGTGAACAGTGACTGATCCGTGCCAGATATATAGGAATTACGACTCACAGACCCAGTCACACGCCTTATGCGCTCGAATCCGGCCGACCTCTGTACCCGGTTCAGCGTAGCCTTTTGGCACGTTAAAACCTCGCGGAGTGCCGCTGCTAGCGATTGATCCATATTCGGACAAACCACCTGGCGGTCTAAGCCGGATCAGAATAACCAGCTGCGCTTAAATCGCGCTCTAATCCGAACGCCGTCCAATCAAACCGGCCATTACATTCTCTTCAGAGAGTGCCGAGCCCGGCCAAAGGCTGCAGAGGGCCCGGGCCGAGCGGGGTGCCCGTCTAACACCGACTTCAGAAAGCGGATGAGGGCGTGCTCTGGGAGGGGGCGTGGGGCGTGGGGCGTGGGGGGGTGTGGGGCGTGGGGATGTGGGGTGTGGGGAGGGGAGAGGGGCGCGGGACGTGGGACGAGGGGTGTGGGGAGGGGAGTGGGACGTGGGATGTGGGATGTGGGATGTGGGACGTGAGGCGTGGAGCGTGGAGCGTGGAGCGTGGGGCGTAGGGTCTGGGGAGGGGAGAGGTGCGTTGCACGCGCTCAAGGTCGCGGCGCTGACTGCGTGTTTACTGTACCGGGGCGGAGGTCTGAGTGACGGGCACTCTCTGCAGGAAAACTACTCCGTTCGCAGCTCGAGATATAGGGTGATGACGTCAGCGGCTCGACTTTAATCTGTGATAAAGATGGCCACCCACGGACAGAGAATGCGGCCAAAAAGGCTCCCTCGGCAATGTTTCGCGGATGTTTACGCTTGAACCCAGATACAAGTGTTTTCTGTCGTGTCCTTCCTCAATCGCTCAGTTTTGAACCCAAGCAGCTTGCATGCTATGCATGCTTCTTGCAGCTTCATGCTTCTATTGTTCTTTTATTGTGGGTGGGGTTGGGGATGGTGTGTGGGGTATGGTAGCAACCGACAGGCGTTGTGCTTAAGTGTCCGGGAACGCGAACATCCAACCACATAATAACGCGCTGTGGTTGGTGCGAGATCTCACGCTCGGGCTTATCCCACGCCGCCATTATTGTCCTGGCTTTGCTCTCTGTTCCTCGCTGCGATTTCTGAACTGTGTCTGGAAGATGTTCCTCACTTGACACGTGTGGGCACTGAAGCAGCACGCATCTGTTGATAACAGAGTGACAGACAACAGAGTGGTGAGCAGAAGCAGCAGAGCGGCAACGGCGTGCAGGCCTGTTGAACGGAGCCCCGCCGCCGTAGACTGTCCTTGTGTCAAATGCCACTATCGCCGTTTCTCTCCACAATTTTTGAAACCCGTCTTAAACCGGACAGACGAAAAAATCGCCGAAAACAGGCTCGGGGTTTTTAATGTTACGATATGGCCAGGCTACGCCGCTACCGACGATGCAACCGCAAGCGGTTTACGAATACGCCCGGCTACTACGAGCCCCGTCTGGAGAGCCGCGTGGGGATCCCTGAGGCTCAGATTGGGGATTTTTCACCCCTCGAGCGCGTCTTGGTCTTTATCCCGCACCTGACGTTGTCCAGCCAGGCCCCGCCTCGTCCCGTCAGCGCCACCGGCGCCGAAAGCGCCGCACAGCTGCGAGCTCAGCCGCGACCCCGGTACGACACCTGCGCCGAAAGCGCCGCACAGCTGCGAGCTCAGCCGCGACCCCGGTACGACACCTGTGCGTCTCCCGGGACCCCCAGCCGCGATGACCACCAGCCCGGCCGGCCGTCTCTCGGACCAGCGGCGGCGGGACGGTCAGCTGCTGGGTGGGGTCGGTCAGCTGACCGCCGCTGCCCCAGCAGCTGACAACACACGGCGTCGCCGGTAGCGGTCCGGACGTGTGGTCGCTCGCTGCTGGTGGAGGCGCCAGAGGCGTCGCCAGGACCAGCGGGCTGTTGGTGGAGGCGCCAGAGGCTTCGCCAGGGGGCGGGCTGCTGGCCCAGCCCCGATCTCGTAAGAAAGTCCGATGAATCGGACGTCATTTCCGAAACGCAGACGACGTGGGACATTTGTGTAGTTGTTTCTGCTCAGTACGCGACTTTCCACGATCTCACATTTCGTCTCCCCGCGCGAATACCCGCTGCGTCGTAGCTAGGTCCGGATGTGGTATCGGGGTTGGCTGGAAGGCTTCGGGGTACGTGGTGCAGACCGAGTGGTAACTGGGACGGTTCGGTCTGTGTCCCCCTCCCCCCCCCCCTCCACCAGTTCTGAAATAGGATGTTGTGATATGCTAGATGAAGGGAAATAAGAAGCCTCTGACGTCCAACGTCCCTTTCTGCATATCAGAATTCAAGGAAACCAGCTCCACGGTGAACGGCTGGCAAGGGCGCCGCCAGGATTTGCGACTGGTATGCTACCAGCATTTGCGACGGGAGTACTACCAGCATTTGCGACGGGAGTACTACCAGGATTTGCGAAGGGAGTACTACCAGCATTTGCGAAGGGAGTACTACCAGCATTTGCGACGGGAGTACCACCAGCATTTGCGACGGGAGTACTACCAGGATTTGCGACGGGAGTACTACCAGCATTTACGACGGGAGTACTACCAGCATTTGCGACGGGAGCACTACCAGCATTTGCGACGGGAGTACTATCGGGATTTGCAACTATGGGACTACCAGCATCTGCGACTGTAGGACTATCAGGATTTACGACCACTGGAATACTAAGATTTGTGACAGGAGGGAGGCTAGGATTTCTAGTCTTAGCCCCGTTCACAGTCCCTACGCATCACGAGAAGAGTACGAACGCTGCAAAACGGGAATGGGAACGGCACCAAATGGGTTTGGCTAGTTTGTCTTGGCCGGGCAAATTGTCCTAGTAGCGTACTATGCAAACTATCCCAGTGGCGTACCATATACACCCACACGGCTATAGGCAATCTTGTCATTGTATTGCTGCTGCTGGTTGCAATATGGCACTGCCCGTGGTAGTCAATGGGATATGGGCAAAATTATTTTCTTGGTTACCATGTCGCGGAATCATGTCCGACGGCGTCGCGAATAATATGCGCTCGATCCTAACATGGGGTAGCTGAGGCCCCCTGGGCCCCCTTCCTGTCTGCGCCCCTGCTCACCAGCAAAAAATGTCCTTGTTACACGTTTAGCCCACTCTGGCCGTTATGTTATGTCACGGAATCTCGGCGTATTCGCCGTAGAATCGTGGAACTGCCGTGCTTCATAGACTGCTCTGGAATGTTATTGCATGCTGGTCGAAGGGCATCTATTTCTCGAAATCTCACGGCACGGTATTGGGCTGCCGTTGAGTTCAACCGCTCGACGTGGGTCCGCACAGCAACCGTGAGGCTGAGATTAGTCGAACAGCGCGCTGTTTATTCTGCAGTCCACCTGTTCCACGCCAGCTCCACAGCACATGTACGGATGCGATTAGTCTAACGTCCGGTCGGCTGTCCTTTATTACAGCTGTTCGACGTCAGCTCACATAGCAAGCTGGAGGAAACCAAGCGTGAGCTTCGCATGCCCTGGGGCGCCGGCATCGCCGGCTTCGTCGCCGAGCGGGGTCAAACGGTCAACGTGGCCGACGTGTATCAGGTCAGTGACCCGAGCCGGGTCAAAGGGTCGATCAAAGGAGGTCAATGGCTGCTGGCGCCGGGAGTCAACGGCCTGAGAGAACCCGAAAGTCGATTTTGCTGACGTGTGTGCGAGACGTCCTATATGTCTGATCGTTAACCGGAGCCAAATGGCAATGTCGGTTACGGGTGCCGGCTTGCTGGGAAACTGCAGCACAATCCAATGTCACTGAACCCGTCCGCCCAAACAGTACCCGAGACGGACTCCAAATCGTCATCGACACGGCATGGGTTCACGCTTGTGCCTGTGTCCGCGGGGCACTCAGCACCTGTCTCCAGAGCACGTGTTGTAGTACGCGACGCGCGCTGATCGGTGTACGTCAGCCACTCGGCTCGGAATCACTGCCTGACCACATGTGCCACCTGAATAATGCCGGCTTAACGATCCGGCTGACGGGCTCTGATCGCATCTGGCACGTGAGCTGACGCGCCGGGCTCTCTCTTCATCCCCCTCTCTCTCCCTCTCTCTCTCTCCCTCTCTCTCTCTCTCTCTCTCTCTCTCTCTCTCTCTCTCTCTCTCTCTCTCTCTCTCTCTCTCTCTCTCTCTCTCTCTCTCTCCTCTCTCTCTCTCTCTCTCTCTCTCTCTCTCTCTCTCTCTCTCTCTCTCTCTCTCTCTCCTCTTCTTTCTCTCTCTCCCCTCTCTATCTCTCTTCCTCTCCCTCTCTCTTTCTCTCTCTTTCTCCCTCTCTCCATCTCTCCCTCTCTCTCTCCCCTCTCTCTCTCTCTCTCTCCATCTCTCCCTCCCTCTCTCTCTCCCTCTCTCTCTCTGTCTCTCCCTCTCTCTCTCTCTCTCTCTCTCATCTCCCTCCCTCTCTCCCTCCCCCTCTCTGTTTCTCCCTCTCTCTGAGACTGCCGCGCGGGCTAATCGGGCTTGCGGCTTCGGCCACGGCCTTGACATTTCCGCGCCGCCCGTCCACCGTCGTTTTTTTCAACATCGGTTTAGGATCCACGCGCGATAGAAACGCCTTAACGTGAGCGGCTTGACACTGACCGGTTGGTGGTAGGTGGTGTGGGATTCTAACCTTGGCCTAGCCGTTCCTTGGCCGTCCTTGGCCGTCCTTTGGTAATGGCGCAGCCTGGAGTTTGTCTGGTAGGCTCTGTGTCGCTGTCGGCGCTCTGTTTTTTATTCGTAGGCATTACGTGATTTTGATGTCTCGGGGGCCCAGCTTTCATCTTTAAAAGCTATATGGACGTGGTGGTCTGCGGTGTGTATGGCCCTGTGGTGGCGGTCTGCGGTATGTATGGCCCTGTGGTGGCGGTCTGCGGTGTGTATGGCCCTGTAGTGGCGGTCTGCGGTGTGTATGGCCCTGTGGTGGCGGTCTGCGGTATGTATGGCCCTGTGGTGGCGGTCTGTGGTATGTATGGTCCTGTAGTGGCGGCCTGTGGTATGTATGGTCCTGTGGTGGCGGTCTGTGGTATGTATGGCCCTGTAGTGGCGGTCTGTGGTATGTATGGCCCTGCGGTGGCGGTCTGCGCTATGTGTGGCCCTGTGGTGGCGGTCTGCGGTATGTATGGCCCTGCGGTGGCGGTCTGCGGTATGTATGACCCTGCGGTGGCGGTCTGCGGTATGTGTGGCCCTGTGGTGGCGGTCTGTGGTATGTATGGCCCTGCGGTGGCGGTCTGTGGTACGTATGGCCCTGCGTGGCGGTCTGCGGTATGTATGGCCCTGTAGTGGCGGCCTGTGGTATGTATGGCCCTGCAGCGGCACGTTCTGCGTGGTGTGCATAGTCCTGCGGCGGGGGCCCGCCGCAGTACCCGCGCACCGAACCCTACGCCACAGCACCCGTGCGTTGCGTTGTTGCGTAGAACCAATGTCTGGCTCGGCGAACGCATGCACCATGCAGTCTGGTGCGCGGCGGCCGCCCTGACGGACGCTGCCCGCCGCCCTGGGCCGGCTGGCAGTCCCCCGCTGTGCCAGATGCCTTTCCATCAGTCTCCGCCCTCCCTTGAGCGCGCGTGACAAGCAGGGCCTCCCTCAGGACCCTCGCTTCAACCAGGACGTGGACGCTAGCACCGGCTACCGCACGCACTCCCTCCTCTGCATGCCGATCAAGGACAGCTCGGGCGAGGTGCTGGGCGTGGCGCAGGTGAGACGAGCGCGCCGCATGGGCGACTGACAGCGTGGGCCGCGCAGCTCCGCGGCCGCCTGACAGGAGCTGCGGACTAGGCACGCCTCGCGCGTCCGGCGGCAGCAGGCGGGATTCTGATGCTTAAAATCGGCCCACCCGTCCCCGATGGAAGGCTGATTCCGTATGTGGTCGTTGCCAGTGAAAGGGGCAGGGGCGTCTGGTACCGCAAGGATTTGCGGTGCCAGACGCAGCGACGTGTGGAACGGAAGTCACGACCCTGGTTTTTACTTCGCGAGACTTGTATGGTTCACCGGAGCTCTTTGCTTGCTTTCCCAGCAAGCTTTATCGTTTCCACTGAGCAACACGACGTTATTCCCGTGTATGCACACATGCTCATTAACCCCTGACAGGAACTATGTTATGTTGTCATGGATTTTTGTGCCGGGTTTGGTGTGAGGCTGACAATGAACGGTTTGCGTCACTCTTTTTCCGTTCCGAGAATGCAGACAGTCTGAGCTCCGCTCGTTGCGTCGGGTACCGTTTCGGAACATGCTGCCTGTGCCCTGGCGGCAGGTTCTGTTGTGTCTCGCCGTGTTTGAACACGTTGTTCGGTCGGTTCAGGCGGTAAACAAGCAGGGCGGGAGTCGATTCAGCGCTGCTGATGAGGAGGTGTTCGCCAGCTACTTGCAGTTCTGCGGCATCGGACTGCGCAACGCACAGCTCTACGAACGCTCCCAGCTGGAAAACAAGCGCAACGAGGTGAGAGCCTTGTGGTAACACCCCTGGCATCAGCCTGCGGACTTTCAGCGCCGGGGCTCGCGCAGCGAAATTACGGACGACAAATCCTGAATAGACGCCAGTATTCAGCCCCTCTACTTCCGGAAGGTTGATGCACCATGCTTGCACGATTATTATTTCCAGAAATTGCTGGTAATTTAACCCTACATCGCCAAAAGCGTTTTTCCTCAATGTACGCTACCCAATTCGCTTGCACGGTGGGCCTCGAGAGTGAGCGTCAAGCACGTCTTTCATCAACACGCCGCATCATTCGCGTGATAGCTGAAGCTCTACACACCTCGATCTGACACTTATTTAGTTAGTTTTTTGTTTAGTTAATTTAGTTTGGCTCTGAAACGTCAACCCGCCACTGCACCCAAAAACTGAAAAATCGTGCCACTCCGCGAAGAGATGCTCCCAAAAACCTTCTTAAGCCCACACGTCTGAATTTTCATCATGGACACGAACTAACGTGTAATGAATAGGTGTCTTTCTCTAATCAAAGAAAACGAATAGCCAGATACCTCATCAAATACTAAGTGTGCACCCGCCTAAGCTAAGTCATAAATCAGTTCTGCTTTGGAAAGTGGTAATAGTTCATACCGGAGATTACAAACCGCATCGCCTGAGAACCACGGTTTGTCGTTTTCCTTGAAGCACTTCTTTTTCGTTTCTTAAATGTACGAGAAGCGTCAAATCATGTTTGCAACGAAGTGGCAGTAATGTTAGAAAAAAACTCATCTGTACTCAGCGCGGGCCGCCATGCAGGCGGATAATTCGTGATCAGCCTTGCATTACGCCATTTTTGTTTCTGCAAATGTTTGTGAAACCCATGCCATTAGGCGAACATACCCCGGGCGTGCATTGCTGCCAACAAACCAATGAGAAAAACTGCTTTGCCAGCAATGGCCGATAAAAGCCTTGCAGTGTTTTGTCCTCGCTTTTGGGGACTGCGGGCTAAAAAGTGACAGCTTTGGGAGCTGCAGACTGGAAGTGACTTGGGATTGGGGTGAATGGGATTTCAGGTGAAGCTTTTACCTCCGAATTTCAGTTTGACCCTTCAACCTTGATTCGTGTGACGTATGTACGTTCATGTGTGTGTGTGTGTGTGCGTGCGTGCGTGTGTATGTGTGTGTGTGGACGTGCGCGCGATTCACCCAAGAGGAGCCAAAACTTGGCTGTGGCGCCACCGTCATGGGGACTCCTGACGACGTGAAGCGGCCGGTCCGGGCAGCGGACCGTCCTCGCCGGGCAGGACGGGCAGGGACTCCTGACTGACTGAGCGACTCCTGACGGCGGGAAGCGGCCGGTCCGGGGCAGCGGCCGTCCTCGCCGGGCAGGACGGGCAGGGACTCCTGACTGACTGAGCGACTCCTGACGGCGTGAAACGGCCGGTCCCGGGCAGCGGACGTCCTCGCCGGGCAGGACGGGCAGGGACTCCTGACTGACTGAGCGACTCCTGACGGCGGGAAGCGGCCGGCTCGGTCGCGACGGCGCTGCTTGACCTGAGCGTTGGTTCGCTGTGTAGAATTGCCTGAGCGGCTTGCTATGGCGTGCGGGAGGCACAATACGCATTAAAAGGTTAGCCTGGCCAGCAGATCAGTGCGAACAGCTGGCCCATTTCGGTCTGATACTGTCATTGATTGTTTGATTTACGCCTCTCTTGTTGACGCTCGGCTGAGCTCAGGGCTAGACAAATGCTCAGAATCAATATTCTTTAGCAAATGCGATTGGACGATTTTAGGAGGAGCTCTGATAGAGAGAAAAAAAGCAAGAATGAGGATGTAGACGCGTTGATATTTCAGCAACATGCCTCGCATGCCTGTCACGCCTTTATCGAAACGACGAACTGCTTCTAAAGTGAATAGCAGGGCCATCTTCTGAAGTGGACAGCAGAACCGGTATTCACTTTGCCGCAGAACTGCCATTCACTTTTGCTTTTCGTTTCGATAAAGGCATGATTGTCTTATATATATGCATAATACTTCTTGCAAACGCATTTAAGAACTTAAAAATTTTGTTGGATCATCGCTTAAGTAAAGCTCATATAACATTGCTACTTTTTGTGGGATTTTTGCGCCACTTTCTTCTTTCCATAAACTGACGGACTGGCGATCGGTCGCGCGAGATCTGATAATGTGCGCATGTCATCGCATCCAGCACCTCATCTGATCCGTCCCATCTCATATCAGCGATTGGGGGAGAGGGGGAGGGGAGGGGGAGGCCACGCGACGCATTATTGCGGCTTTCGCCGCATTATCAAACCGATGCTGCTGCGTAGTGTACTGACGCTGCTGGATAGTGCGCTGACGCTGCTGCGTAGTGTGCCGACGCTGCTTCGGTACGCCGGCGGAGGAGCCCCGCGGGTTGGACGCCGGCTGACTCCTGAGGACCCCTGCTGACCGGCCCGGTCCGTTGCCGCCGGGGGGGGGGCTCGGACGTAAGCTTGGCCGAACCAGAAGCGCTGCTGGCCACATGTTCTCGCGGCTGGTCCGGCTGCAGTGGCGTAGCAAGGGTTTTTAGCTGGAGGGCGCGTGATATGCAACTTGGAAGTCTCCAGCACGGGTGACTTTAAAGCAAGAATGTTTGGCAAGGACGGCTTTTGGGGGATCAGAGTCCTTAGCATAGCTTCTCACTAAGCTCCGACCGCACTACCCTACTTAAGAAATTCCAGTCCAACGGACGACTTTGGCGGAAGATCGCCTACAGCCATGCAAGTGCACTGCATGTATGGTATGGTATATCAGCGGCGTGGTCGATCTGGCATTTCCACAGCGCGGTTGGCCTAGCCCTGCGTGTAACGCGCCTGCGCTGCTGCAGGTGTTGCTGGACCTGGCACGGATCATATTCGAGGAACAGAGCACCATCGAGCGGGTGGTGCAGAGGATACTGCTGCACGCACTCAGCTTCCTCCAGTGTCAGCGGTGTCAGGTGAGCGCCCGCCGCACGTGGCGTCACTCGACCAGCTGCGCCAGCGGGCCAGCTGTGGCGGCGTCCCAGGGCGGCCTGCCCCCACAACGCCGCCGTCATTGGGCGGGGAATGACAGCTGTTTTCGCACCGGCAGGATGGTAAGGGTACCAGGTGTGTTTTGACTGAAAGGCCTGTGACATGATATGGAGCAATGAACGTTGTTTACTATGAAAGCATGAACATCATGTGTTAGATAAAAATGCTGGTGTTTATTGCAAAGGATATCACATGTAGCGGTGGTGCTAGGCATTGCCTGTCATGATTTCTTTAAAAATAGAGCATAATGATAATACTACGACACATATCAACATTGCTATTAAATCGTAACTTTTTATCAGATAGTTCCCAGAGGTGTGCCACGATGATAGCCCCTCCCCTGGCCGTCATTTTGAGTCGTTCTGCGTCGCCGCCAGGTGATGCTGGTGGACGAGTCGTGTCAGGGCACGTTCTCGCGTGTCTTTGACATCGAGGCCGACGACCTGGCGGCGGAGGACCTCGAGTCGCGCACCGTGCCGCACGAGGGCCGCTTCCCGGTCAACGTCGGCATCAGCGGCCGCGTCGCCACCACCGGCAGGGTGAGACGGGACAGGGGTCACAGTGGTCACAGGGGTCACGGCGGCAGAGGGGGCACCGAGATAGAGAGGTCACGGGTACAGAGGGTCAAGAAAAGACGGGGACAGGTGTCAGAGTGGCAGTGGTCACATAGGTCACAGGAGCAGAGGTCACAGGGGCAAAAGTTCAGGATAAGACGAAGAGAGGGGTCAGAGTGCACGGGGTCATAGAGGTCTCAGGGGTAGAGAGGATCAAGGGGGAGAGGGATGCCACAGAGTCAGCGGAGAGTCAGAGTTATAGGGACAGGACTAGACAGGGCCACTACAACGCGGCAGCCGGGGCGGGGAAGTCGGAGGACGCCATGGGCTGGGGAACGCGATGTCGCCAGGTCTAGAGTTGGGCGGGGTGAGCTAGGGGCTTTGCGAGAGAAAGAGAGAGAGAGAGAAAGAGAGAGAGAGAGAAAGAGAGAGAGAGAGAGAAAGAGAGAGAGAGAGAGTGAGAGAGAGAGTGTGTGAGAGAGAGAGAGAGAGAGAGTCGTGCAGATGGCAAAGGACGGACGTGCCGTGCCGTGCCGTGACGCAACGTGACGTGACTTGGCGCTGAGCTGCTCTGTCTCCCGCTGCCGGGCAGGCGCTGAACCTGGCCGACGTGTACGAGTCGCCGCTGTTTGACCGCTCTGTGGACGAGGGCTCGTCGCTGCGCCACCAGTCCGTGCTCTGCCTGCCCATCATCTCGCCCGCCAACCGGACCATCGGGGTCATACAGGTCAGCTCGGGGCAGGACAACCGCATCATCGGGGTCATACAGGTCAGCTCGGGGCAGGGCAACGGCACCATCGGGGTCATACAGGTCAGTTCGGGGCAGGACAACCGCACCATCGGGGTCATACAGGTCAGCTCGGGGCAAGACAACCCGCATCATCGGGGTCATGCAGGTCAGCTCGGGGCAAGACAACCGCACCATCGGAGTCATACAGGCCAGCTCGGGGCAAGACAACTGCACCATCGGGTTTATGCAGGTCAGCTCGGGGCAAGACAACCGCGCCATCGGGGTCATGCAGGTCAGCTCGGGGCAAGACAACCGCACCATCGGGGTCATACAGGTCAGCTCGGGGCAAGACAACCCGCACCATCGGGGTCATACAGGTCACCTCGGGGCAAGACAACCGCACCATCGGGTCATGCAGGTCAGCTCGGGGCAAGACAACCGCACCATCGGGGTCATACAGGTCAGCTCGGGGCAAGACAACCCGCACCATTGGGGTCATACAGGTCACCTCGGGGCAAGACAACCGCACCATCGGGGTCATGCAGGTCAGCTCGGGGCAAGACAACCGCACCATCGGGTCATCAGGTCAGCTCGGGGCAAGACAACCCGCACCATCGGGGTCATATACAGGTCACCGTCGGGCAAGACCCGCACCATCGGGGTCATGCAGGTCAGCTCGGGCAAGACACCGCACCATCGGGGTCATACAGGTCAGCTCGGGGCAAGACAACCCGCACCATCGGGGTCATACAGGTCACCTCGGGGCAAGACAACCGCACCATCGGGGTCATGCAGGTCAGCTCGGGGCAAGACAACCGCACCATCGGGGTCATACAGGCCAGCTCGGGGCAAGACAACCGCACCATCGGGTTCATGCAGGTCAGCTCGGGGCAGGGCAGGGCGGCAGGCCTAGGCTCAGTGGCGCCGTGACTCATGGAACTGGATTTTTTGTATGAAGTTATTTCACGGAGCCGGCAGGGAGCGGGAAAAGACGCAGGTGGGGCCATTGAGAGGTGCCGGGTTTTTCTGTAATCTCCATGGGAATAGCTTCCTTAAGCCGTTTTAGAATGCTAAGTTCCTCTTACCGGTCACGATCCTTCGCTTAATTGCCCCCGCGGTTGATGAGATGTCAGTGACGAAATGAAACCAACTCTGAGTCACGTCCACACTAGGGTCAAGCCTCTAGGAAAGTACGCGCGACATCACGAGCCTAGTGATGTGACATCATTAATGAGTAACGTCACTGGGTCGCAGTGTGACGCGGTCTACAGGCATCGACGTCACCATGCTACCAAAGCAGAGATGTGACCCACTCAGCGGTCTTCCTGATGTGTGTTCCTCTTGTGTGGATAAAGTGAAAGATACGCTTGATGAGTGGTATCTGGTTGTGATCTGTTTTGTGCCTGGTGTTGTAAGCGCTGCGTAAGGGGGACGCCACGTCCACCATCCCTCGAAATGGGAACGCCACATCCGCCATCCCTCGTAACAGGGACGTCACGCCCACCATCCCCCCAAAGGGGTGCCACGTCCACCACCCTCGTAAGGGGACGCCACGTCCACCATTCCTCGTCCGTGGCGACGCGCCCCGTCTTCCCTCTCCGCCGGCGACCGCGCTGTTTGCCCAACCCGGCCGCTCAGCGCCGACGCGTCTCGCATTGTGCCGCCGCCGGTACGCAAACACGGCCTGAGGGCGGTCACCTGTCCACATCATCACTCCGTCCCGCCCACCGCCCACTGAGCAGAGCTGAGTGGCCAGAGTGGCACGGCCGGTCGCCGGCGCCGGCACAATGCGCTGATCAGAGACGCGCCCCCGCAGGCGGCCAGCGCCTGTCTGGTCCGTAAACAGTAAACAGCCCACTACTGCACAGTTGGGGTTTGGGTCGGCGGCGGGATATGGCAGCCCCGGGCCCGGGACGGACGCCCGCTCCTGCACAGCTGGGGCTTGGGTCGGCGGAGGGATATGGCAGCCCCGGGCTCGGGACGGGCGCCCGCTCCTGCACAGCTGGGGTTTGGGTCGGCGGCGGGATATGGCAGCCCCGGGCTCAGGACGGGCGCCCGCTCCTGCACAGCTGGGGTTTGGGTCGGCGGCGGGATATGGCAGCCCCGGGCTCGGGACGGGCGCCCGCTCCTGCACAGCTGGGGTTTGGGTCGGCAGCGGGACGTGGTAGCCCCGGGCTCGGGACGGGCGCCCGCTCCTGCACAGCTGCGGGTCTGGGCCGGCGGCGGGATGTGGTAGCCTCCGCCCCCGAGCCGGCCTGATGCGTACTAGCGCGCCGGCTAGACGGAGCTGTCAGGTCTCTGGCAAGCGCCGCCAAAGGCTGGCGATTATCCGATGGGATCCCGTTTGATCATTTGATTGCGTCATCATAGCGTCTCGTCTTTGAAGCCGTCCTTACTTGCCGTTTGTAAAACGATTTCCCACGATCCACCTGAGAAGCAGCAGCCAGATTGCGCCCAGGTGACGCCATTCTCGCAGTGAGAACGATCTCTTCAGAAACGTCAGACTGAGCCGCTGTAGCCTGCGCCTGCGCGTCCAGCTGGCCTTGGCAGTTAATGACTCCCACAATATTGATGTGTGTACCCGGCGTCGCCCATTCCAGGCAAAATTCGGTGATAGAAACGAGTGATTACCGTGCGTGTGAGGGTCTCTGTAATCTGTATCTGTAATCTCACAATCGCAAGTGCGGGCTTAAAACCTGCTGGGCTTTTAGCAGGTATTGTTGACGGGTTAGAGGGGTTCGCGTGGCTTTTAGACCCCGAAACTATTGAACTATCTTATTTCGAGATCTTAAGAAGCACAGATCTCGCTTATTTCCTTCAGTCGCATGGCATGCAGGCCAAGTGGATTACCGAGCAAGAATTAGACTGTAGGAAAAGAACATTCCTTGACTAAAAAAGCATATCTCATAGTTCATAATTTAGCTGCAGCGGAGTAATAAGCATCATGGCTGTCACTGTCTGCCTGCTTTACATGATGCCGCTTAATCACTGGTTAAACATAATACACCGTCACTTAATGCTTCGGCACACATTTCATGAGACAATGACGATCCATATATTCAAGAGTGACCTTTTGTGTGAGCAAGGGATTGGTTGGCCTCAAGCAATATATCTCTGGTGTGATGAAACCATGACTATGCTATCTGATGTCTTTTCCTTTCTGGCCACTCCTAAATCACTTTGATCGGAGGTGTGCCGAAGTTTTACACATCAGTGCTTTGTCTAGAATGAAAATTAAGGGCGCGGGCCTGAGCAGACTTTTATTTTCATTAAGAATTGATTGATGCTTTCCTACCAGCTTTCATAGCAGCATGGACGGTTGTCCGAATATGATAGCCTTAACGTCAATACATAAGTGATCAGATACAGACGTCCCAGGAAGTGCAGTGTTCGAGTGTATGATACCTCAAACTCTCACGCGTAAGGGCTGGATTTAAATCGGAGCTACACGACGACCCTCGTGGGCGTTAATGTGACGACGTAGTGGTTGGACTTCCCAAAAAGGTCAGCAGCGACATGGTCGAGCTCCTTTTCCTTAAGACCTTATCATCACGCGACAGTAAACTGACAATGAACTTGCGACCGTCTGTAATGCCGCCCTAAATGCACCAGCTTCCGACATGCATGGCATGTTCTGCTGCCGCCAGTAATAGCCCCGCGGACGAACGATGCCAGATCACATGTAGCTACTGGAACACCCGACTGATTCATGTCCAATCAGGCTCGTGGTGCTCAGGACGCCGAATCCAGTGCTGGGTGTTAGCAGCGCACGGATTGGCGAGTTCCGGGAAACGGACGGGGTGTGCAGGACAGGGGACGTGATTGCTTCAAAGCGTGAGAACGAGGCTCACGATTTTGCATACGAATCATTCCGAAAAGCGTCCCGTTGCCTCCTTCCTCCTCCCCCCCCCCCCCTCCCGATCGGAGCTCATTTCCGCGCCCATGGAGAACCCGCTTAGTGTCGGCCGAAGGCAGTACGTGCTACTGTTTGCCTGTCTCGGCGTGAAGGCAAACCAGTTGGCGAAGCGCAATCCCAGAAGGCACGCTGCTATGATCGAGGACTACTCGCTCTGACCGCTGCTAATCTCAGACTGAGCCGACAGCTGCCGTGTCGAGTGTGATCGGTTCCTCATCTGTCAGTGGTGGACAAGCGGCGTTTTTTCACGCCGTCGTCGACGTGGTTGTCCGCGATGCGGAACGACCTGTTGCATTCCACGTGTCGTGAAGTCCCATTTTCGTTTAGCGCACCACTTGACAATGGCTGCTGATCCTCCTCCTGTTTGTAACCGCCGATCCCTCCTCTCCCCAATCCCAGCTGTGGCGTTACACGCACCTGTCGTGGCGTTACTCGCTGAAGTTGTATCGGCGATCGGGCGCCACGTGTCGTCATTGTTGTGTTGTTTTGTCCTCGCTGGCAGTGAGTCAACACCGGCTGCCATACATGCCATATCATCAAAACCAATGCTTAATGTTTCTTTCTCCCCTCGGCAGCTTGTGAACAAATTCGGAGGCATGCCCTTCACGAAGAACGACGAAAACTTCCTAGAGGCGTTCGGCATCTTCTGTGGCATTAGCATCACCAACACGCACATGTGAGTGACGTGAAAGCGGTTAGCAAGCCCTTGCAACGTCATCCACCGCCAGTTGTGTGCCCAGCGTATCACACCGTGTTTCTTTAATTAATGTTGAGCTGTGCATGTCTTTGTGCAGCCCGTCGCCAAATGCAAAAGATTTCATTGCTTCCATAAACGCTCCAACCCCATGACAGCCGGAACCAAACGTGTCCATCCGACCCAGATGTCGGGAGTTTCTCATGGTTAGTCATCCCGCGTGGAAGTAGAGGATTCTCCTGCGTGAGGTATTTCGCTCATGCGTGTCGAATCTCGGCGGTATTTCTGCAGACCGCCACGTTATTGTTGTGCTAAAGCATGCCGCCATCGCGTTCTGTGCATACTCTGGTGGTGAAAATGACCTATGCCACGGCTTTGAGCGTCATTGTTTATGCTTGTCGAGATGAAGGAGACGAAGAATGATGGGGTGAAAGAATGATGTGTCCGCTTGCCTCGCTCTCGCAGGCGCGCCAGCTGCGCGTCGTGTCAATCTGCGTTGGTTCGGGTTCCGGTATCTCAGTCCAAATTGCTGGTGAAGTCGAGAAGTTTTACACAGAGCTGTCTGGGTTATCTCCTGACGTTAAAATCGGCGAGCGTGCTGCGGGACCAGCATAATGCGCTTGCGCGTAGCCCAAGAGAAGCCATGGCTTGACGATGGCGCCACCGCGTGCTGGCGCTACCCCCTTTGGCGGTTTGGTATAGATGGCGCTACTATCGCAGGTACCAGAAGGCCACCACGGCCGTGGCGAAGCAGGAGGTGACGATGGAGGTGCTGAGCTACCATGCCACAGCACCGCTGGAGGAGGCCCAGCGGCTACAGGTGGGACCCCCAGTGGTGGGACTCCCAGTGATGGGACCTCCAGTGGTGGGACCTCCAGTCCAGTGAGGGATGTCTAACATGGACACTGCTCACTGGTGGAACTGCCGACTGCATGGAGATAAATGCTGGTGGGACCCTCGTCTGTGAGATCATCACCTATGGGACCCTAACCGGCAGGGCCCTTTTTGGAGAGCATTCTCTGGTGGAGTCTCTTCTGGTGTGACCCATGATTCTTGCCACCCTTTACACGCGTTTTTACGAGTCATCCGTGCTTGCGGGCTGACGAGAATGTGGGATAGGACAAGCAAAGAACACACTTAATTTTGACATAGTCGGGCACCCTGAAACCTCTCACCTCCAGTTAGCCTTCAGAGCAATATACTGGCTCGCTTTTTGGAGAACATTCTTTGGGGATCATTCTCTGATCATGGTGACTGTGTGAAGCCCGCCCGCACTTGACTATTGTACTCGTTCCTCCCTCAAAGCGGATGAAACAGCGGCGCTAAGAGACCGTTAGAGTCACCTTCCTCAGGCTACGCTTCGACGAGAAACCCGTTCGATCCCCGAGGGTTGGTTCGAGTGACATGATTACCCCCGTCCCGTGTCGCGCCCGTCTGCGACTTAGTGCCGTTGTTGTCTCGGCGCCGCCTCCCGTCTCACCTCTCGCGCCTACGACTCTGGCCGCCGGCTGTAGCCGCCTTGTGTCCTGGGCCTTCCCTGTTGTCCTTGGGCCTCCTCTGCTGTCCTGTGCTCTCAGTTGTTGTCCTGGGGCCTCCCATGCTGTCCTGGCCCTCCCCTACTGTTCTGGAGCCTCCCCTGCTGCCCTGGGAGCTCCCCCGCTGTTTCGGGCCCCCTTTGCTGTGCTGGTGCAACCCATGCCACCCGTCTCCCGTCTCACCATGCGGCCTTCTCCCGTCTCACCTGTGCCACCGCCTGTGCCGGCCAGAAGTCACCGGTCCCTTCGGCGCGCTGCTTCAACCTGGACTCGTTCGCGTTCGACGACGAGCTTCTCACCGACGACGACACGCTTAGGGTGAGCTTCAGTGAGATGGGGTGAGATGCGCTGGTAATTGTGGCTGGGAATATTGTGAGACTGTCTTCACTAAGCCAGGGTGAGCGGGGAAAGGTGATCATACGTGAGCAGTCTGTGAGATGATGATCAGTGATCTATGGAGAACTTTAGAAATAATGTGTGAGTTATATGATCTTTAGTGATCTATGGTAAGCTGTTGAGATCATGAATGAACAATCTGTGAGATAGTATTAAGTGAGCTGTGGGGATCGTGAGTGAGTCACTTTTGCTGTGCTGGGGCCACCCATGCTACTGGGACCTTCCCTGCTGCGGAGAGGTCTCCCTTGCCTTACTGAGTCCGCTGTTGGTGTGCTGAGGTCGCCCGCGCTCTGTTAAGGTCTCTTTCCCGCTGTGTTGAGGCCCCACCCTCTGTTGTTTCAAAGCCCTTTCCCCTGTTGCTTTTAGGCTTCTTCGAGCTGTGCCAAGGCCTCTCCCTGCTGTGTTAAGGCCCACCCTTCTGTGTCAAGGCCTCTCCAGCTGTTAAGACACCGCTGTTTGCCGTACTGAGCCCCTATCCGCGCGCTCCAGGCGTGCATGCGCATGTTCCTGGACTGCGGCCTGCTGGAGCGGTTTCGGATCGACCAGCTGGTCTTCTGCCGGTGGCTGGTGTCCGTCAAGAAGAACTACCGGGCCGTCATCTACCACAACTGGCGGCACGCCTTCAATGTCTGCCAGATGATGTACACCATACTGAAGGTGGGCTGAGACGCGGACCGTTGCTAAGGCCGCTGCTAGACTGAGCATTAAAGCCAATGGGCGGACGTTATATGTAGACTGGGCCAGTGGGATCAGCATCAGGCTCGACGGGCCTATTCTGCTGCTTTGTGTCCCATGACGGGAAAAATGGAGACCGAGAGTCGGGGGTCTTCAGTGAATGAAATAACAGGCCCTCCGTAGCTCTACGAAATTCCACGTTGTGGCTGTGTGTGTTGCACACAAACAGGCACTAAAAAATCGTGTCAAAGACCCCTACACTTCTCCAATTTTTTGACCGGTGCCGCGGTCCCTTGCCTGCTGTCAGCCTGCGTCCAGTGGAGGGTGGGGAGGGGGGGGGGGGGAGCTGACCGGCACCCGACCCGGTGATCCGTGCCGTGCCCCTCTCATCCCGTTCGGCGGACACCGCGGCCGGACTGGGAGCAGGGCTTCTCGATGCCGCTGGCTGATGTTTCAAAGCGCTCGGGCTGCCGTGGCGTCCCGCGATCCGCCTCGGCCGGTGACTGGGGTCGGGGAAGCCCTAGACCAATGCGGCGGGCCAAGATCAAGAGTGTGCGGAAACACACGGAGGGGGGATGATCGGCGCGCGTCCGAGACGCGTCCGTGGGAAGCGCCACGCTGCCGTCAGAGGGGACATTTTTCTATCCGTCTTTCGAGGGAAGAATTCCCGCAGCCAATCAAGCGTGCCACCCTGTCAAGCGGGTTAGAGTTCCAGCAAGCGCCCAGCCCAATCGCGCTAATCGAACTCGAATTGATCCCCGTGGAAGCGCTGTATCAACCGCAAAGCTTTTCGAAATAGCTGTTTCCTGGCGAAATTGCTCACTTTTCTCCCGTCTCCGGCTGTCCCCTCCTGGAGGGGGGGGGGGGGGGGGGGGAGGGGGGCTTGGTCGGGGGATTCTCCTCACGGATGTCGGAGAATCCTTTCGATTGCCTGTGGGGTCAACACCGAGTAATTAGTGCCAACGACTCGCAGATGGCGAGTTATTGTTGCTGCACTCCTTTGTAACGTCCTGCCTACTGGAGCGCTTGAATGTCGTCTAGGTGATAATGTGTAGTTACGCCGGCGCTAATTTGGGGTGGAGATGATAATAATGCGAAGTGACGCCGGTTATAATGCGTGACGACGCCGGCGATTTTACGCAAGGATTATTACCCTATGATGTAGTCACGCTGGTGAAAAAGCGTGACGAAGCCATTGATATGATGTGGTGACGCTGGTGATATAATGTGGTGACTCGACTCCTCCGGCGGCCGGCAGAAGGCGCAGTGGTGGGGCCGGCTGGGTGACCTGGAGTGCCTTGGTCTGCTAATGGCCTGCCTGTGTCACGACCTGGACCACCGCGGCACCAACAACTCATTCCAAGCCAAGTGAGTGGTGTGACGGCACCAGCACCACACGGCCGCCGTGCGACAGCTCCGAAGAGAGGAGAGAGAGAGAGAGAGAGAGAGAGAGAGAGAGAGAGAGAGAGAGAGAGAGAGAGAGAGAGAGAGAGAGAGAGAGAGAGAGAGAGAGAGAGAGAGAGAGAGAGAGAGAGAGAGAGGAGAGAGAGAGAGAGAGAGAGAGAGAGAGAGAGCTGGCGGGGGAGGGGAGAGGGCGCGCGCACTACACTGTTCCATCACTCCATCGTAAAAATCTACGGACACAACTGAGAAGGCCGCTTGCCTACATTTTTCCATACTTACCAAAAATAACTGCAAATCCACATATGAAAAGGCCACCTGTATGCTATTCATACTGCAGCTTATTAATCTTGTCCTAAAACTGCTGTTAAATGCAAACATTTGTATGGGAAGCATGTCAACCAGTGATACGCATCCTTATCAGTCCATCTTACACGTTCAGTAATAAATTGCTGTGAATACCATTTAAGAAGCTGCTGTATTTCAAAGCGTGTTATGCGTGCGGAGCGCGTGCGACCCCTAGGCCACCGCTCCTGTTCGTGTGTCGATATCAGGCTCGTAGCGCCGTGTGTGACCGTGTCCGTGGTGCGGCAGGGTGTCATCCCCTCTGGCGCAGCTCTACGGCACGTCCACCATGGAGAGACACCACTTCGACCGCTGCGTCATGATACTGAACACGCAGGTGAGCGAGCGGGTCTCCACCAGAACCCTGCCGCGGATTAGAAGAACGCTGTGCTCATGCATGCGTTCTGTGTGTTCCATGCGATTTAAAGCTAATTTTGCCAATGTTCATTTATCGGTCATACGCGTGGAGGGCGGGATGTGGGGCCGTGCGAGCAGTTTCATGAGCGTTATTTGCCCCCCCCCCCCCCCTAACAGTTGACGTCTAGTCGTGTGCAGCAATACAACGCATTAATTTTCGCTCCGCTCAAATCCGTTATCACAGCGGTCGGCAAATGGTCCTTTCGGCTTCCTGCGCGGGCAGTGGCAGCCGACCGTGTGCCAGTGCGGAGCTGCGGGTCCTCCCTCGGCGGTCCGTGGCCGTGCCTGACGGCGCTGGGTGTCCTCTCGTTGGCAGGGGGTGCAGATCCTCAACAACCTCCGGCCAGAGGAGTACTCCCGGCTCGTGAAGGTGGTGGAGTCGGCCATCCTGTCCACAGACCTGGCCATCTATTTCAAGTGAGCCGCCTCCTCATGACTTGGCGTCTCTGAACATGGGGCTGTTTACAATTCCCATGCGCACGTCACAATCCTGTCACGTCTCAATCACGTCCATGCCACAATCATAACACAATCACGTCACATAACAATCACGTCCACGTTACAATCACGTCCACTCACAATCACGTCCACTCACAATCACGTCCACTCACAATCACGTCCACTCACAATCACGTCTACTTCACAGTTATGTCCACGTCACAATCCTCTGAGCGGAACCCACACCCAACCGGTCAGAGCATTTTGTTGCAAGTTTATCGTGATCTGCTGTTGGTTCTAAAGAGCTCTTTATTTGATCTGACCGCGGTCTTCCTGAACCCCATTTCTTCCCCAATGCCTCCCCTGGCTCAGGGTGTGCCGACATGCCTTTCTCCTACGTATTTTCTCCTGCAGATGAAATGCCGTCAGCCAGTCGGTGATCTGAGTTAATAATATGTCGCTCACGCTTGTGACTATCAGCCGTAAAACCAATGACACAGGGCTCACGGTGCTCTTGCTTGGCAGCCAAATCCGTTTTGGATCAGCTTAAAACCATTGTTGTGCACATTAAAGAGCATGTGCCACCATGCTGAGTGTTACCAGACTATCCCAAATAATACCTGTGTCCTTGAGTGACCTTGTGAGCTGCGTATCTTGACGCTCCTGCTCAAACGCTCCGACCAATCACAATAGCCGAATAAGTCTCAGGACTCTGGGGCTGCTCTCACGCCCATGACGGCAGGTTGTTGCAAATCTGGCGTGGTCGCAAAGCTTAAACGCAGACAAGAGGACTTTTTGAGGGCAGTGCGCCTGCATCCACTGCGTGCCGTCCGTTACGGACCGGGGTCTCCGCCGCTAAATTGTAGCCGGTCTGTGCGAACAGCGCAGACGGCATATTGTGCTGGCGCTGCGCTGCTGCACAGCGGCGGTTCTGCTGCGCGGTGGTGCTGCTGCGCGGCGGAGCTGCGCGGCGGTGCTGCGCGGCGGTGCTGCTGCTCGGCGGTGCTGCTGCGCGGTGCTGCTGCGCGGTGCTGCTGCGCGGCGGTGCTGCGCGGCGGTGCTGCTGCGCGGCGGAGCTGCGCGGTGGTGCTGCTGCGTGGCGTAGCTGCTGCACGGCAGCACGAGATGCCTGACAACCGCTCACTGGTTACGCGACAGGTCAGCGTTAGGTGGGGATATGGCAGTGCGCGCCGGGTAACAAGAAATTTCAGACAATTTTTATAGAGTTCACTCGCCACTGGAACACATGCTGGGATAGAACCCACTTCCCCAGGTAGGGGGAATGCTTAATTACGTCTGCTTTTCAGCTCCGATCAATTTCACTGATTTGCTGTAATTTGCGTAAATGTAAGATGCAGAATGACGTTCGGTTCCAAAAATATTACTAGTTTTAGAGCAACAAAGGGTTGTCCCATTGGTATTAGACACGCATGCTTTTGACAATTACATTGAACTACGCTCAGATTTTTAGTTCACCGAACTTCCTCATTCGGAACAGGGGGATAAGCAGCGTGCACACCCCCATGACTCCCGGGCGACAAGTGACTCGATCACCGCCGTTTTCCCCTAACGCAGCAGCGGGCGTGGCAGGCCGTGCGGCCAGTAACCATGGCAACAGAACATGGCGCCCCAAATGCAACCGCTTCTTCCACAGTTTATATACAGCGACATGCCACTTTTCCAGCGAAAGACGTGTTGACTTCTCCAGACGCGCGGCCTAATTTTTTTGCTGAGCTTTGGCCGCCAGCCCGGGACGCCGCCGTTCGATGGCATTAGCTTGCGGCGGTAGGATACGACACTGGCTGAAATGGCCCATAATCGTGACGAGTGTGCGCCGCCGTGTATCTCGCCATAGATTGCAATATCTGGGACGCAATAAAGCCCCAGGCGATGAGCAAGCCAGCATATGCAGTTTGATGCTCGGGTTCAGATAACAATCTCGGTATGAGAATGCGGTTTTCGGAAAAACAATGCGGCAGTTCAGTTGTTGTATGAAACAATCTTTCGATCGTTACGCTACTGCATACTTTGCAGACATTCTTTTCTAATGTATTGTATCACAAGCAAGTGTTTTTGCTCATGATGTTTAACCGCAGAAAAATAAACGCATGACCTTGCGCAGGAACTGAGCAAAAGCAAAGTCCATGAAAGTGGTACGACCTCTGTTTATGCTGTTTTTCTGCCGGCGCTGGGTGTCTGAGTGGTGGGCTTGTTTACGTCATCACGCGTAATAATTTGTCGACGCAGGCCCAGGGCCAGCTGGCGCCATCAACACGAGCAGTGTGGCGCATTCTGACCCAGATTCCTTATGGTTTCGCCGCTCCAGCCGCTTCTCGTCGGCTCTGGCTTTTGACTCCCTTCTGCGTGTTGTCGAGTATGGCTTGTGACTTTCGTCTGCGTGTCATCAGCTCTGCCCTCTGGCTGTCGTCTGCGTGTCGTCGGCTTTGACTCCTGATTTCTGGCGGCCTGTCGTCGGCTCTGGCTTCTGGCTGTCGTCTGCGTGTCGTCGACTCTGGCTTGTGGCTGTTGCTGACGTGGCGTCGGCTCTGGCTTGTGTTTGCCGCCCTCCGGTCGTCGACTGCGGCTTTTGGATGCCTGGCCTGGCCGTGACGCGCCGCGGGGACGCGTGATGGACAGACATGACGTCATGATAGTCTGATGGGAGGAAGATGACGCCAGAAATGCGCCGTCAGTAATGCGAACAGGGGTTGGATGATGGTGGGGTGGGGGTGAGTGAGGGGGGGGGGGGATACGAGACTGTGAACAAGACACCAGCTTATTGCACACACCAAGACCGATATCGGGTGACGAAATCCATCCAGGTTATAAGTTGGCACGACTTCGCAGTGATTCCGGATCTGCTAGGCAGGCGATCGCTGGATTCTCGAGCTCGTAATGGACACGTTAACCGATGGCATATGTTGCCAGTTATCTCACGGCAAATCAAATAATGACCTGCATTTTCCGATCGTGATTTGCTCTATTAGTCACTTGTCACTATTAATCGCTTGCAGTAAATCGTAGGAGCCGTTCGATAATACTTCACTTCGTGGAATGATTTTGAACATCCACTGATATGTAGGAAGCGTCGTCAAGTCTTGAGAAGTACAGGTTGATAGTACATTGTTTGGGTTTTGGGTCAGCGCGCAGCGCATGGTCGCGGTCCTGGCCGCCGGGCTGCGGCATGCCTCCACTCGTTTCCCTCTGCTCAGCGTCCTGTCTCCTTCCCCCTCTCCCCCCCCCCCCCCACACACACACAATACGCGGTCGTGCCGCCACCCCACGCTACTTTGCCGTAATCCGCGTGCTTTGCGATTTGCCTGACGGTGTATATGTACATTCCCAGGCGGAATGCACCACCCGCTGTTCGCGTTCTGAGTCTTGTAGCCAGGTCTGCCAGTGCCTCCGTACTCCTGGATGAACGCCACGCCTTGCACTCATCCACAGTGCTGTATGTGCCGTCCTCTGACAGTGGCCATCCACAGTGCTGTGTGTGCCGTCCTCTGACAGTGGTCATCCACAGTGCTGTGTGTGCCGTCCTCTGACCGTGGTCATCCACAGTGCTGTGTGTGCCGTCCTCTGACAGTAGCCATCCATAATGCCGTGTGCACTGTCGAGGACTGTGGCCATCGACAGCGCTGTACGTGCCGTCCTCTGATCGCGCCCGTCTCCAGTGCTGTGTGCTCTGTTAAGGACCGTGGCTACCCACAGTGCTGTGTGGGCCGTCCTCTAACCCTGGCCCGGCTGTGTGTCTCGGCAGGAAGCGCGGCCGGTTTTTCCAGCTGCTGGAGACGGGCGCGTTCGACTGGCAGCAGGAGAGCTGCCGGGACCTGCTGCGGGGCATGCTGATGACCGCCTGCGACGTGGCCGCCATCGCCAAGCCATGGCCGATCCAGCGCCGGGTAAGAGCCGGCGGCCGGAGGGACGGGCGCCCGCCGCTGCGGGGGTGGTGCCGAATGGAGCGGGGCAGCGCACTAGCATCTGTGCCACAGTGGTACTGGATCGCCACGTGGCCGCTCGTAGACGTCCGCTTAGGGTCCCGCTTGCAGCTGTTAACTCGGGGAGTTAAAGTCTGCTGCAATCACGGGGGCTGAAGGGCGGGATGGTGCAACATTGAACTGTTATTGAGTTAATGTTAGTCGATTTATGGAACGTAGATACGGGGGGCTTACAAATTGTGTTTAAGTTCGAATACGTCAGTCCAAAACTACGACAACGGTCGTGAACTTCAGCTAATTATGTCGGAACTAAATGCGACAGTATCGCATTGGATGGAAAGCGGGCGATTGAAGAAGAGAAAGGTTTGATCGCTCTGTATTGCCGTAGATCCCAATGCAAAGCTAATTCGTAGAACGTGGTACCTGTTCAGGTGATTCATAAAGTAAAAGCCGTGATGCAAATTGAGAAACATTTCAAACGAGGACAGCCGACTGCGGGAAACTGGGTGGTCATTGTTGATCACCAAAGAGGTCAGCTCGTCACCCTGTACTGCCCAAGCTAGACATCATGCTGTGTTGTTTCTCCAGCAAAACGTAGTCCTCACGAGGTTCACTTCCTTTCCCAGGTCGCAAAACTGGTCGCTAGCGAGTTCTTCGAGCAGGGCGACATCGAGAAGAACCAGCTGCACATCAAGCCAATGGTGAGGCTATGACTTTGAAGACCAAAAGCGTCGCACTGGATAAGCGCCCCTATAAACTCATTGGGTGGCTGCTCCAGCGACCAGTGCCCATCTGTGTCCTCAGAAAGCGTTGACCATTGATTTCAAGGAAGAAAAATTGTGTTCTTTCCACGACAGTTGTGTCGTTTTTCCACCCCCGTGTGTTCAGCCAGAGCTGCCGAATTTCGGTTATGGAATGTGTCGGAACAGTTCAGATATGCTGTGTAACCTTGCTAACCGTACACAATTGATGTATATATATATATATATATATATATATATATATATATATATATATATATATATACATGGCTCAGCATACATGCCCGACATTACGACCGGACTATGCTAACCTGAACGTACCTTCATGCACACGCATACGTACGGTAACGAACGTGCCCGCACAGTTACGCGTCCACGCATTACTTCCGCCGCGCTGGTGGCGTCATGTGTATGCCTCGGTGGTCGTTACAGGAGATGATGGACCGGGAGAAGAAGGATCGGCTGCCTGATATGCAGGTCGATTTCATCGACTCCATCTGTATGCCCGTTTATAAGGTGAGTTAAGGTTTCATCTCAATGACCGTTTATTTGGTGTGGCAGATGAAGACGATGTTTTTAGAGATTTTCCAACAGGCTTTGTTGGATCACAGAGCTGCGTTTCAGTGATGTCGATTCGATTAGTCTTGGAGTGCGTTAATTGCTGGGTAGGTGTTGTCAGATGATGTTTGACGTCGGCCATGTCTTGATGTGATCCGAATCATGACCTGACGCTTCTATCAAAAAGCAAATGCCGTCGCGGCCATCTCTATCCGTTGATTTCAAATCACCCACGGTCGTAGCTGACTAGAACTTATCAATATATTTAAGCATTATATATATATATATATATATATATATATATATATATATATATATATATATATATATATATATTTATACATGTATACCTCCTTACATAGGCATACTTTTTCAAATATATACACATGTGCAAATACTGATATATATATATATATATATATATATATATATATATATATATATATATATATATATATATATATATATAAGGAAAAGTATGCACCAGCATTTTCTGTCATAGCCATCCGGTTGCAAGTAATTTGTGCATGTGACTAATGACGAATCATACGACCCAGTACCGTCAGCGACGGTATTTTGTTACATGAACGGCCTCTGGACGCGGCAGCAGCTCCCCCTCCCTCCTCCGACAGGCCGTCAGCCATGCTCAGTACCCTTCTCCGGCGTTACAGGCGGTGGCAAGCCTCAGTCCGGCGCTGGAGCCGCTCGTGGACGCCGTCGAGCACAACCGGCGTCAGTGGGAGCAGCTCTCGCGGACACCCTCACCGCCGCGGCAGCGCACCCAGTGATGTGCCTGCCCCCCGTGGGCGTCACTCGCCCGCTGTGACGTCCTGCGGCGCGCGCGGCGCAGGAGCGACAGACGGTGCGCGCTGTCGCCGCGAACAGCCATTTTTTGTACAAAACTTTTGTACAAAGCTCTCGGTGCCACCCGGTGTGCCTGGCGCCCGCCCCAGCACGTGTCCACGAGCCTGGCGAAGACGGCGCGTGGACCGTGGCGGCGTGACTCGGTGCCACATGCGGGGCCGCAGCGCGAGCGTGCGATTCTTGTTTAATTGAACACCAAATGTGAACTCGTGGTGAGAAGGCCGTGGCGTTACCCGACGCCTTGCGCGCTGTCTGATCGTATCACTCATATGCGCCTCAAGGATTGCTGCGCATGCGCACCTCTCACTCGATGCCAGACTTCTGGTGCCTCGGGCGCCATTGCCGCCGCTGACCTTTGACCTGAGGCGTCCCATGGCGGCTACTGGTGCGCTTCAAAGTGGTGCCGCCACGTGTCCAGCTCGCGGCCTGTGTCAAGCTGCCTGCGGCCATCCCGCGTCGGCGTGTGAAGCGGTCCAGTGAAGTAGGGCCGCATCTATTTTCCAGATGTGCCGTGCGATATTTGTGAGGCCGTCTATTATTACATGGGTGCTTTATCCTTTTGGCCGTGTGAGTTTCGACGCCCTAAATGGATGTGGGCCTGATAACGCTGAGCGATCGGGCGCGACGCTCCAAGCAATTCCTCTGCGACAGCCGTCTCCAGTTGACATCAATACCTGACCTTCAGAAGACGCTGCCAATTCCACAAGAGGTGCAAAGCCAACTGCATCTTCTCTTCACTCTCCATGAATGCCAAGCAGTCCTAATTTGTGGCCGCCGTTTCGAGCGCGGTCCCTGGCCCGGATCGCGGCCCAGACGCAGCATTTGTATCTGTCCGGGGGCACGAGCCGACCGTTTGTCGGCGGGGGCCGCGATTCGTCGTCGCCACCCGGGCGAGGGCGCCCCCAAACAGCGCCGGGCACCGCCTCGGGCCGGCCTCTCATCCACGCGGCTGACAGCCGGCCGCGGCTGGGCGCGTTTGGAGCTTTGCTTATCAGCTGGGGCGGCCTGCGCGGTCTGAAATAGCCTTGTGTTCCCGTGGGGTGACCTCCAGCGCTCAAAACTCGCTCAGGTATGAACAATCTCGGTCGCCCGGCAGCTCGGCAAATGGTTTGTGTTGCTTGCCAGCGAAAACCACGTGCGAGGCGAATGCAAGCCAGTTCTCGGAATTCATTTTCTTTCAGATGAACCCCAAGTACATTGTCCGCCTAGAAATTAAAGTTTGTTTTAAAAAGCGTAGCCTTAGATTCCCTAAGTATTTAGAGTATTTTGGTGTTGTAAGTCTTCATAGCCTTTAAACCTCTTTTAAAACCTCTAAAGAATGCTCGCGCTGGGACTGGTTAGGGGCGGCGCCGGAGCCCAACCAAGCCTTAACGCGTCACAGGAGCGACTCCTCCGCAGCCACGGACCCTCCCTCCGCAGCCACGGACCGTCCCTCCGCAGCCACGGACCCTCGCGACCTTGAAGGGCTCGGACCGACACGTCAATGCGGGACACAAGGGCACGCGTATGTTCAGAGGCGTTCGTTGAGCTTAACATCTGACTGAAAGTAAATACATAATAAGTAAATAATAGATACGCTATAGTAGTGTAGAAGTGCATACCTTTTTGCATAAAAGTAATATAATTAGTAACAAGTAAATCACGGTAATAATCACGGTCATGGATAAAGCCTGGGTTCCCGATAGCAACCGTCTCACCGGACTGGGCCGCCATCGGGCCGGGCAAAAATTTGCTGCACATTCCGTCATGCATCCAGTAAGTCTTTAGATCTGGCACATCGGACTCTCCCTGGCAATGCAAGCAGCACTAGACCGAGCTGCAGCACATATGTTGGCATTGCCATGCGTGATAGAAGTCAAGAAGGAGCAGCGGGCTGGAGCTACTGTGACGACTTCACTTCACGAGTCACTTTTTTCTTGACGCCTTTGTACGAGCAGTGGGCTGCATCACGCAGTCATTTTTATTTGCCCATTCAGCTGATCAGCAGTTAGTTAATGTGATTGTCAGAACATGCTGCGATCCTTGCGATCTGACACAAATTATCCACATCAAGCAAGAAGGCTGACGGCCCCCCACCCCGCCGCATTAAGCCATTAGACCTGGTAAAAATTCAATCCGGTCCGATAGGACAGCCGAATACAAAATTCGACAGCACGATCCTATCAGATTAACATAAGAATGTCTGATGGGGTTCTGATCGAAATCCCAGCGGACGATCTGATCGGAATCCCATCGGACGATCTGATTGGAATCCCATCGGAAGATCTGACTGAAATATCATCGGACGATCTGATCGTAACCCCATCGGACGATCTGATCGGAATCCCATCGGACGAGCTGTTCGGAATCCGATCGGAATCTGAGCGGAGTCCCGATGGGATGTCCGATCGGATTCCGACAGAAATCCCACCGGACAGCCTGATCGGAACCCGATCTGGCAGTCCGGCTGAAATCAAGATTCCATCCGACAGTCCGAGCACAATCTCAGAACGTTCATCCGCTGAATTACGGTTCATTGCCACTCAGAGGTTGTCGAATGTACTCGACTGGGTGAATCCAAATCATTGCAGCATCCGATAGGCGCGTCTTAAATGATAACGTTCACACAGTGCCCGGAATTGTCTGCACGATCATGCACAAACTCAATTTAATCCTAGTGTTATCGCGCCGCGTGTTTTAACGGCGCGCCATGACGTGCCGGTGTGGATATTATGCATGATGTGCAGCCTCCAGTGGACTCGGGTCGGACTCAGGTGCATTGGCTGCATGCAGCGCACGGATCTAATGACGTCAGCGATAAACTCGGCCTGCAATTGGCTGCACGCAGTACACGGAACCAATGACGTCAGCGATCAACTCGGCATGCGATCACCAATCCTGTTCTCTAAGAAAAGACAAGCTGAACTAGAGCCGGCATTTAGGGGCAGCACTGCAACAACAAACACGGACAGCTGCTGTACACGCGCAAGCGCACATTGGAGGGGCCCCTCCAAGCGCCACTGGGCGACCTTGGTCGTGCCGTTGCGTGCCGCTGTGATTACGCAGGGCACCTCCTCCTTCATCTGCAGCTTCTTTTGCCCTTGACTAAAAGGTGTGTTTAGTTAGTAGCTGTTTGATATAAATAGTTAATAGAAATTGACGATCCATTTGATGTTCACGTAGCTTGTGCCAAAGATAGCCCAACGTGCGTTAACAACATACGTTAAGACTTTTTGTAGGTTACCGAGCAGTTTGACCTCCGAGGTCATAAAAGGTCAGCCAATATTTGTCGACGACCATGATGCTTTCTTATGACACTCGATCAGAAGTATTACACAGATTCCATAAAATGCATTATATTCCGTGATCTTTGATATAGGACCACGCGACCTTACAAATTCCGACTTCTTGATTTGCTAAAAAAAAGAGACCTTACAAGTCTAGGACAACTCAGACAATGAGGATATCTCTCGGCCTTCTGCGAGGCATACACAACCTGTGAACTCTGCACCTCATGCCAAATAGGCATTCGTTGTGAACAAATATGTCGCAATAGCCTTGATGCCACGATACTGATAGCCACGATTATGATAAGCAGGGTGACATAACTTGATGAAACCGATATAAGCCTGTTTTAGTTGAATGTGCACTCAATGTAAATCAAACTTTTCTATGTGGCAAAATAGTGAAATTGCAATGGAGTTCAGATGACGTCAGGCCACGTGGTGATCTTCCGCAAACAAGTAAAAATGAAACATTCCTAGATAGCAAATGAAATGCCGAGTTGAATGGTGCCACTTGCTTGATCGAATGAAACCTAGTTCATAAGGCAAACTTACAAATGGCTGGCAATAATCAGCTTCTAGTCCACTTAATTGTCTCTTGTTGGCTCCAACAGTGGACCTTGCAACCTGCAAAAAATCGGACCCATTTCATTTTCTTTAAAATCGCTATACGTGTGGAGCAACTCGGATCAGGAGGGCATTCTCGGCTTTACAGAGCATAAAAACATGACCTTTGCATGTCACCGCATACCAGACTGATATTTGTCATGCACCAATATAACGCGTGCTGATGGATAAACAAGGAGAACTGCCATATTCAAACCGAGCTCATATTTGTTCAATTTACCTTTTGCGGTAAATGAATCAAATTTTTCTGGTAGCAAAAAATAGGCGACTGGGCTAGAGTTCAGGCCCTGTCAGGTGGTGTGATGACCTTCCGCAAACTGGTAGAAATGAAACATATCCAGAAAGGAAATTACTGCTCAGTTGAATGGCTCCAATTAATTGATCGAATAAAGCCTAGTTCAAAACATAAAATCGAATGTCTGTAAATAATGCTCATAGCGATCAGAGCTTGCGGAGCATTCCATATCGCGTGGTGTATAACAACATGATGATCGTCGACACATATCGGTTGGGCCTTTATGATATCTGGAGGTCAAACCGCTCAAAACCCTATACAAACCATTACGCATGTTGTCAGTGCACTTCGGGCTACCTTCGGCACAAGTTTCGTGACAATCGAAGGGGTGGTCGATTCCTGCTGAATATAAATATCAACTGCTGTTAACTTCATACACGTGTGGCTTGAAACGCATTCCGGAAGTGTGGGCTCACGACCAAAAAAGAATCACACTGACTCCCACTTGAATCCCCCTGTTTCCACCCCTAAATAAGCGGCGACAGCATCTATGAATCCAACAAGTTCTACGAGAGAAGCTTCAGTCTACACTCTACCAAAACTATGCACGGAGCACGAAACTAGGCAAGATAGTCGCAAATGGTCGATAGTAGCCAGCACAGACGCGCGGGAAGAACGACGTCACAAGAAGGCGTGGTTGTGCACGACGTGACAGCAGTATTGTAGGATCTCATGACTTTTGTCACTTTTATTCGGAGTCGGTGTGTTTCGATAAAGTGCCCCTTTAAGAAGCCCACTGAGGCGACTGTGAGCTTTAGAGAACCGTAGCATATGACCTCTTTGCGGCTCTTTTATTTCATTGTGTGCTCAAAACCGACGCACTCAAACTGCCGCCGTTCGTAGGCTCGAACCAGCATGACACAGGAGCCGCCGGACGCGCTAATGGAGCAGGTACGGCTGGGGGAGATGGGGCGACACCAAAGGCAGGGCATGCAGACGTTGGGCCTGCCGACTGAGACAGACCCGAAGACTGTGAAGGCTGGCTTGCGCATGTGTCTGGGGACGCTCGGTCACCAGGTTTAGCATACCGTTACCGACATAATCTTCAGCGAACAGTTAGTGGAGTGCCACGCTCACGTGACCCGGACACACCGGTCCGAGCAGTTCTCTCAGAGCGGGAGCAGGAGCTGGAGCCGGTGATGGAGCCGGAGCCGGAGTCACGGCCGGTGCCGGAGACCAGTCGGTGGTTCCACGTAAGCAAACTGCACGTAACACGTGTTACGCTGGGCATAGTGCTCCAGGTTCAGATGTTTGTGTTGTTTTAGCAGCGTAATTCTGAAACGAGTCCGAGGTGCTCATTTGACATTATCTCCTTGTGTTAATCATGCTCAGTTTCTGTACCAAATTGCTCATCACGCCTTTCTGTTGTTAATTACG